AAGTCAGACTCACCCTTGGGATCCTCCGCCAACACCAACCTCGTATGACCGGCAAACGGCAAACTAAACCACACCGGCAGCCCACTCCGATCCGCACCCTCCCAGTAGTCCGCATTGCATGACATGCTACTACCGAACAACAGCGGATTGAATCCATTGCAGACGGCCTCGGGGATATGCAACACGTCCTCCAGCACGATGACATGCGGCGTCGGGTCCTGCGGGCTCCTGCACACGGTGAGATGGACGGTCCCGACGCCCGCGACGTGCAGCTCGTCCGTGGGATTGAAGATGTTGTTTTTCAGGCGCAGGTCGACGGAGCGGTAGCTTGTGAATACGGCGCGGTCCCTAGCATAGTGACAGTTTCCAGACACGACCATCCAGTCATAGCAGATGCGGTTCGCGGGATGTGTAACCTTGTTTCTTTTCGTGGGCTGCTCGGGTGCCTCTTGGTCTGCGAGGAATTCGTCGTGGGTGCGCATGGTGGTCGTCATCGGACTGCTCTTGTTTGGTAGGAGGGTGGCTATGGGGGGTCAATTGGGTCGGTCGTGGGCAATAACGAGCGTAAAACGTTGGGAGAGGGAAGGGCTGTAGTTAGGCTTGGCGGCTCAACGGTTTAAAGACTGGAAAAATGCTCCAGAGAGAGAGGATTAGGTGTGAGAGACTGAGATTGGATGTATCCAGCCCCCCGGAACAAGGAAGTCCGGCAATAATCCCAACCCGGTAGGCGGTGCTTAGGTCTCAGCCCTGAAGATATGCAGGCGGTGTGATGCAGCAGTAAAGCCTCACCGCTGGGGCTAGCCATATTAAGGCAAAGCTCGGTGATTCCCAGAATGCTGGGACCGCGCGCTGATTGGCGGAAGGCAACCCCACTGGAACCATGACATCCAGTAGGGCTAAATGGAAGCTAAAGGGAACCTCAGTCGACCCGAGGGAAGCGATGATGTCTTGTACCCACAGTGTCCCTAAGAGTCAAATTGGCACAACACAATCGCATGGCGATACTCCAGTCTGAGACACAATTTGAGACTTGCGGCTCTCCAGCTCAGTTTTCGGCATCTGCCGAAAAAGGAAGGGATCCGGGATTTGAATCACTAGGGCCGTAATGGCTCTGGATGGTGGCAACACTACCGGAAATTCTCGGCGCTCGGATAGTCCAGCCCCGGTTATGCAGGGGGAAGCACCGGTCTTCTTGTTAGCTTCCTTTCTGGGCCTGTCGTTGCGGCCCAATGCAACTGTGCAAGTGTGCATTTATGCAGCTATCATTTTACTCGACGCTTTGACCGCAACCTGACAGCGCTGTCATCCATGTCTCTTTCGTCTGTTCCGCTACTAGGATGTTAAGGGTAAACGGTCCAAGAACTTCGAAGTTAGATAGGTATTTCTTGGCAAGGTTGTGCGATCTGAGTAGATGTACTAGTACTCGTACAAAGAGATGGGATAGACGTCTTATGGCACACACCTTGCAGATTTTTTATCTAGCAAGGTTACATTGGATTCTTCGGAATTGCGGATGCTATTAATACATTCTTACCCTTTTTGGCAGTAAATCAGAGTATACTCGATCATGTGTATTGCAGGAAGATATTGCGTTTGCTAGCCACAAACAACGTCCTTCCCTTGCCTCGCCAACGGCTCAATTGCCTTTCCCGTATGCCAGATAGCGTCATTTGCTCGTCTCCTCTACCCCAAAAAACCCACGCTTCCAAGTTTCAACGAACAAAGATCCACTCCCTTGCCGTGCAAGGCTGCGCAAGGAGCATAGAATGTCCCAGATTATAGGTGGAGCCACTAAAAACCAAAAAAAGCAGCTATGCTGATCCACCGGTGGTGAAAAGAGGGTCGCTCGGAAAAGAATCCCTTTCGGACGGCCTCAACGACGCGATTTACAAAGAAGGAAAGTCATGTGTTGAGCTTCGTATCCACAGTATTAGCCAATGGCTTCCCTGCATGCAGGCTAGCAACGCCGATCAAGGCCGATGATAGGGTCAGAACCCCCCAAGATATACCCTCAGTATTGGCATCGGTGTGCAGTTGTGATGTTCTTGTTGAGACCTTGGAAGGAGAAGTTCTTTGTTGACAGAACTCTATGTTGCCGAGTGGTCGCGGCATACTGAAGAAAGCCAAGTACATGTATCGCAATCGAGCTGGGTGTCGAGGTTCCACAGCCCTAAGCCTCATGGAAAGAAGGATCTTATTGGCCTTTAGGACAATCCCGAGGGCTCGACGGGGTATGGGAAGCGAGTCAATATTAGAGTTTCCTTGCTGGTATGACGTACATTCTTCAGTTGTCCGACAACGATACTGGGAGCTAGAATGCGGGGAGAAGATGCGGTCTAATAATGTGGCTTGAATTCCACCGTCGGAGGGGTACTGCAAACATCCTGTGGTAGGATGTGGTGAAACATCTTGGATTTTACCCGTGGAACTGCGATGGAGTGACCTATGAGCGACGAATCGCTTGGTCACTCACTGCATAATAATAGATTATGGCGAGTGCCCACCGCTAGTATTGTGTCATTTGATAGCACTTGATATCTCAACGGATACTACTAGTTGCGATCAGTGTCTGAACAATGTGGTGTTGCGCAGGTCTACGCTTCTCGGGGGCCTTGTCCATCCCTTACTACAGGGATCAATACCGCAATTCTACATTGTATGTCACCGAACGATGTACGCCAGGATGGATCCGTAGATATCCACATATCATCCGGAGTTACGAAACATCAAACGCCAGCGCTGTAGGTCGGAAGGCATGTTGGAACAAGCCTACAATACGCTGCTGGTAAGGATCTGGAAATTGCGGGTGCTTCGCGTCTGTGCAAGTTGACCCGGCCGACAAGGTTTCATCCTGTGAATTGTGCCTTTGTGCCCGTATTCAGATTTGGTTAGACTTGCCAATCTCCTTACTCCCGCAATTTCCGTGGATAGGAGCGGCAATAGCGGCTCCAAGTGGGCGTCTGCTACGATAAGACGCGCATTGGCAAATCCGGGATGAATGAGATATTTCTCGTGTGGACGATCGTTGCAGAACAAAGAGAATAGGGTTGGTTAACAACAGTCGAGGGGTAATATAGTTGAGGAGATACTTTCCACCAGATTAGCGCGTCCATATGGCGAGGTGATCGTGCATGAGTTAGGCATTAGTATGCCGCTAAAGACAAAGTTGGGATGGGGAGTTGTGCCAGATCGTCATGCCAATTGCCCCAAGTATATATCGCACTTCGCGCTCAGGACACCATTGAATCTTAGCGCGAAGATCAATGGGGATCTGTATGCACAATTGCTAAATTCTGCATCCCCCCAGTCATTGACCACGGATTACCACCTTCCCGAGTCTGTGGCAAAAGTGTGCCCAAAGGGCTTTTGTTGTTTGCTGGTATGGAGAAGCTGCGTGTCCTTTGATCCACGATATGGAGAATCCCAGACCCATCTCATTGGCCTGGGCCAATTTCGCGCAAGGATCTTGTCGAGGACAAGTCAGGACACTACTAGCACAGACAAAGAAAAAGGCACTAAAACAATAGTATGAGTTCGGTCGTAAGGTTTATCTCACTAACAGAATTTTTTCTTTTTTTTTATATTTATTTATTATTTTTTTCTGTTAACCGCATGACAAGCCTGATAGTTGAGAATCGGAGCAAGACTAGATTATCCAATGAGAGGGCTAATCGGTACAATCGGCAAACATTACCCGATTGTTTCTTGGTCGTTGTTTTGACGTGGACCGACAAAGAGGCGTGTTGAGCTCTCGACCATGTATAAGCATCATCCCATATCGTCCAGTCATAGTCGGTCTGTCCATCGATAGAATGGCGATATGGCAAATTTTCGAGAGTGGCAAAACATGCGTTGAGGTTTCCCCCCCGTGGGTCAGTGGAATTCTAGAATGGCGAATTAATTTATCCCCCACGTGAGACAAGGAACGGTGGGGTGGTTGATTTCCAATGATTTGGTTTACATCCCTGTAGGGCCCCCGTCTTTAAGGTACAGGAAGGAGATGATCACAGGATCGGGTAGAAGGGGGGATTGCACATAGTCGTGTTGGGTTGAGGGCTTCTAGACTTTTTGGTAGTTCGGGTGCTAAAGTTAGGGCATGGAGAATGCTCGGAGAAGCTCCCAAACTTTCCACCCGATGAGAGCTGATTCCGATCCGCATTTCCACCACCGAAGCATTTTGCGTTGGACGAGAATCCACCGCCTGTCAAGTGTACCGCACATGGTTCTTGGGACCTATCACGCGAACCGGAAGTCTTCAATCCCATTTCAGATTGAAGATTTTGGGCAACTAGTATCGACGCTAGGGCCAGGAGTGGTGCCGGTCACGGGACTTGATTGGGTGGCTGTTACTACCGACACCCGGTGGAGATTTGGAGATCTGCAGGAGGAGAAGGGCAGCTGTCGTGGGGCGTGCGGAATTTCTCTGAAAAACAAGATTTCCAGAATCATTCGGTGGGACTTTGTTTCCTTAAAAGATGCGCCCGTACCTATTCGGGGTACTTGCCGCTTCGACCACCATCTGTAATTAAGGCACACTGCACATTATATAGACGCTAACGCCACCCTTCATGCCTCTCCTCTCTCCCATTTTGTTGCGCCTTTCCGACCCCCGATCCATCGGCCCGCGCCATTCCTCTTTATGTCCGATTCGAAGTCATCGTCCTCCTCGCCTCGCCCTCTTGCACCGGCTCCTGGTCAACCCCCGAGACGAACCAGTTCCAGCGACGATGTAGTCCGTGGACGGAAACATAAGACCACCGCCTGTAGGGTGTGTAAAATCAAAAAGCTCAAGGTGAGATTTGCTCCCATGGTCTCTCTCGCGCGTTCGTCCGCTTCTCCGGCCCTTGCCGTTCGTTCTATGCTTTCCTAAACTGGGCACTTATCGGGAAACCGTCTGTGGCCGATCAGAATGCCAATGCCACGGCTGATTTTGCTAGTGTCGAGGCGATCCACCGTGTGAGCATTGCACCCTCAATGGCATTGAATGCGTCGTTGACGAGATGGCGGATATGCGTCGAAAGTTTGCCATGAAGCGGAAGCTGGACCGACTGGAACAAGCGGAAGATACCTTGCTACACATCATCGGTGCCCTCCGAGGGAGTGAAAACACACGCATCGCACAACTATTGAACCTGATCCGGAGCAATGCCTCCTTTGATGAGATTGCACTTTTCTTGGAGCAACAATTCTCTCGCGCCGAGATCGAACGATCCCCCGAGCTACGTGAGTTTCGGAGCCAGCTCTCCCGACCTTCCGATGAAGACGACGACGACGGGAACGAGGGCAATGCACCTCGGATTCCCCGGCGTATGCTCGAGGTGCGCCGCCTCGCCGATATCCCCGTGTACAAGGTTCCCGCCAAGCCCTGGACGACGGTCACGGACGATGACGATCTGGTGTCACACCTGGTGTCCTTGTGGCTCACATGGACTTACCCGTGGTTTGACTGGCTAGATAAGGATGTCTTCATTCGCGATATGCAGGCGGGGGATTTGAACTGTCGGTTCTGCTCGCCATTTCTCGTGAATGCCATTCTTTCGGAGGCGAGTGTACGTAGTGTAGTTTGTACTATTCAAATCCAGGATACGAAGGATTTTATTGATTTGTGCAACTCCTCAGTATTATTCCGACTACGCCGAAGTCTTTACCGTCCCCGGCGATATGTTCTCTCGTGGCAACCACTTCTACGAAGAGGCCCGCCGATTGCTCGAAGCAGAGGACGAGGAAGCTCCAAGCGGTATACCGACTATACAAGGCCTTCTGGTGCTATTCATACGGTCGGTCTGGGTGGCGTCGAGTGTGGGGATGCTGGCTAACATATTCCAGGCTTGTTTTGATGGGTAAAGACCGCGTGGGATGGGTGTATATGGACCTCGCCATGCGAGCCGCGAAGGAGTATGCGTCTTCGCACCCGCCTCTTCCTATCGACACGGAATCGGCGCGACAGATCGAGAACGTGGTCAACCGGACATTGTGGGGAGCTTACAACATGGCTTCGTATGCTAAATCTCCCCATGGCGAAGGACAAGCACACTGACGGTGGAAGGACGGCCGCGGTGTCCTTGATGAAACACATAGATATCACACCCCCTGCGCGACCGCGCGTGCCTATCAACCATGACGATCGCCTCGATGTATGGTCTCCCTATCCTCAGCTGGTCGAATCGGTGCGGGGTCACCATAATTGCGTATTCGACCGCTGGTGTGACTTCTCTTCTATCACGCTCCGAATCAGCAGGGCTCTCCATGACCCGGATAACAGTTTGCCGCAATGCGAGATCCCGGCCGTTATCAATGACATATACCAGCAGCTTCAGGGTTGGTACGCGAACTTACCGGAATGTCTACGCCTGGAAAATGCCGAGGTACCACATGTTTTAAGCCTACAGTGAGTCCACTAGATGGAGCAGTAGCGTCATGAATCTGCTTACCTGCTAACTTCCCCCCCCTTCTAGCCTGTTCTACCACACAAATGTCATGCAAATCTTTGGATTCCTCCAATCCAACAGCGGCGACTTCATCGCCCCGGAGACTGCGAAGAACGCTCGGGACCTCTGCCTTTCGACGGCGAGACATATAGCTCAGATCCTCAATATGCACCGTGAGAAATGGGGCATCGACCGGGTGGCCCCCTCGACCGTCCAATGGACCAGTATCGGCCTCTTCACTCTTCTGGAAGCCCTCGACTCACTTGAAAATCGCAAGGCTTTCACTGAACTGTGCATTTTTGCCCGGGCGATGTCCCGACGCTTCGGTCTCGCCAAGGGCATTCTTCGCATGATCCAGGTAACCGCACAGCAGGCGGAGGTATCCCTTCCGCCAGAAACAGACGCCCTCTTCCTGGACTTTGAAAAACAGACGTGGCGCAACCATGATTCCCAGTCGTTTAGTAGCTTCTACCCCCATTTTTCGACAGTAATCCGACAGGGAAAGGCTCGACAATCTGATGCGAGTATGGATCGGTTTCTGGAGAAATGGGATAATCTTGATATCAGCGACGGACCGCCCAGGAAGAAGGAAGGGTGAATTATCCCGGGGGAGTGGTACGAGAGGGTTTATTTACGTGTTATGACCATCAGACTAGCGTCAAGACTTGCGCCATTGTACAGCGCCTTAATAGACTGAGAAATTCCCAGCGTCAAGCTTCCTCCTTCTCTCCCGCCGTCTCAACCCCCCCTTTTTCCCTTCGTTCTCCCTTATATTTCTTATGGTTACTATCAACGCTACGTTTGATAGTGTCCGTTGCCCACACAGAAACTTCCCGCGAGGACACTTAGACGCCCTTCTAGAACCTCGCCGACTCTCCTATACGAGTCATACTTCACCCGTCTATATCAAACACCCAGTTTCCCGGCCTAGTGCAATGTCTACATCCTCCCATTCCCAGAAATCACCTCGAGATCAGATAAGCGATACCAGCAAGCCCCCTGATTGGCTGACTCGCTTAGCGCCAACTCCACATGTATTAAAACCCAACACCATAACAACCGGCGGCAAGCTCTATACAAACTCGCACTGAATAGACCTGCAAGCGCACCCGTAAATAAACCAAAGCTATACACCTCCAAGCCACGTACAATGGAAGAAGAAAAGAGACCCAACCTACCAACCCGGCCCAGCCAACCCTGCCCAGAGGAAAACCCCCCCACCAAAGACCCCCCCTATCCCAACGAGACCAGTAAACATCCAGACCAAGAACAAGACCACCCCAAAGAACAGCCCGACACAGACAATCCGCTACCGCCAGCCTACGCCCCCACAGCCCTAATCCAGAACCAAACCACTCACGCCGCCTATCGACCGTCGTCCATCCTCCCTAAACCGGTCGTCATACCCCGTACGTCTCTTCTTCGTTCCCTTCTCTCCCAAGACTAGTTTATCTGGTGGTCAGTGACATGCTGCACCACAAGACTAACGGACACGAACTAGAAACATCCCACTCGATTCACGGCTCAATCTACCGCCCCTTCGCGCGGGCCTACGCGCCCGCCCTCGAGAGCCTCGGAATCCCCAGATCGGAGTTCCTGGCTTTCGTCGACGCCCTCAACGAGGTCTGGCTGGCGAACCCGTATATCCAGGCGATTAGCACCACCAGTGCCGTCGCGTGCTTCATCCCGCTCTTGCAGATCCAGATCGCCGCGCTGGGCGTGCATGCCGCCGCCGAGTACGGGTCGGTGAAGGTCTCGCAGATGCGCACGCAGGCGTATATGCGGCTGGCGAATGAGCAGCTGTTTCGGCCGCGCGGGCTGCGCGTGCAGGTGCTGAAGACGAAGGTCATGATGCGCGAGGTGGGGGTGCCCGGGGATGTGTTGGAGTTGGGGGCGTGTGGGGGTCGGGACGAGGAGTTTGGGGATTTGCAGGATGGCGCGGAGGGGAAGGGGCGGTATGACCCGCAGTTGAGGAGGGTGGAGGCTTTGAGGGAGTTTGTGTGTCCGATTGTCTATGAGGAAGGGGGTGCGGTGGTCAAGGATAATTGGATTAAGAGGGCTTCGGATAAGCAGGAGAAGTGGCTTTCGGAGAGGCAGAACAGCTCGATTGTGGGGAAGAGGGAGAAGGCGGGCAAATGGATGAGTGAGGCGGAGGAGGCGGAGCGGCAGCTGAATGTGAAGATTGAGGAGGTTGAGCTGGCGAAGGAGGCTGCGAGGGCGAGGGCGAGGGAGAGGGTCGAGGGTCCGTTGGGGGAGTCGTTGCAGGGTCGGGGCATGATTCAGGACGATCTGGACAAGGATTTGAAGAAGCTGGACAAGACCTTGTCGAAGCTCGTTAAGGAGAGGGAGAAGAAGGTGACGAAGATGATGCAGAAGGGGGAACGGCGTCTGCAGAGAGTGGAGAAGAAAGAGAGTCGCATTGCGCAGAAGGTGATGTGGGTGGTGGTGACGGGGGATGATGGGACGGGCTTTCAGAACCATCTTTGGGAGGAGTCGGAGACTTGAGATCCTGCGTTGCGCATCTTGGCATTGGAAGATTCACGTATACCCTAGGAGTGATCTACCTGCGTTGAATTATACTAACTCTAATCTATTTTTATTTTTATATGACGATGCAGATTCGGCATGCAAATCACAGCACGTATCTGAAGAACGGGTTCTGCTTATCAGTCAGATCCTGGAACGCCAACTTATCCCGTTGGGTCTCATCAAGGTCCATTTGGTTCCGGCGCCGGTTCTCCTTCCACAACACAAGATACAGGGCTCCAGCGGCAGCAATGGTGATGCAATAGCAAATCACCATGCCGGTCCATAGCTCGGGGTAATGCTGGCCCACCGTCTTGCTGTTCACAAGTTGTGGCCCGATGATGTTACCGACGGTGTAAGCGACAAACACCGTGGCTGCCATGATGGTTTTCTTCGTAGCACCCGCCACATTGCTGGCGCCGAGAGTAATGACGAGACTGACGACCGGTCCGAAGAACCCTGTCAATGCGTATCCCACCACGGGGGCTGCGGGTCGGTATCCCCATTCGGACTTCCAGATGATCACGCACCCAGCGATGACAGGCAGGCAACAGGCAATCAACATGGGAATGCGTGTGTTCGGGATCCGTGACGAGATGTAGCCGCAAAGTGGGATGAAAATGACACAGACACCGCCGACGGGGAATTGAAACAGGATCGATTCCAGTGTGTTGAAGCCAAAGGTTGATACGATGAGGGGGCCAAACCCGGAGATCGCGCCGTTGATCGTATACCTAATGAGACGTAAGAATGGTGTTATTGGATTGACCCGGAAGATACTCACGCGGCAGCCATCATGATCGCGACAAGGTACAACTTCAGGTCCAAGAACGACTCCTTAATGTGATCCCACTTAATCTTTTGGCATCGCACACCCGTCTGCCCTTTCCGCAGTCGCTCCACTGCGACAACTCGTTCCTCCGGGGTCAGGAACCACGCAGACACAGGCGAGTTGGGCATAATACAGCACCATAGCCCAAACAGAAATGTAAGCGCACCGGCAAAAATATAAATGTACTGCCAACGTTTCAGAGCGCCCGAGCTGATCTGGCCGAAAGCGTAGTTCAGAGCGCCGCCGATGATCGTAAACCACCCAGTCCCAGAGAACCACCATGCTTGACGCATGGCTTGCTCTTTTTGCGTATAGTAGCTACTCACGATAGTCATGAAGCCCGTTGGAACGACGCTCTCAACAAAACCTGAAACTCTGTCAGAAATACTCGACCACGGACAGAGAGATGACAGTCACAATATAGGAAAAACGCGCACCTAAGAAAAATCGCTGCACAAACAAACCCTGCCATGTTTTTACACCCGCCGTAGCGGCACAGGTAATGGCCCACATCATCACTATGGGGCCGAATACATATTGCGTTTTGAAGCGCTGAAGGATAAACGTCATGGGGTACAAACCCGCCAGCATTCCAAAATAAAAGATGGAGGTCGCCCAGCTGAGTCGCGATGTGTCCTTTGACGGAGGTATTGTAGTATGATCGATGACAAGTAGTTCCAGATCAGTTGTCATACCGAACAGAGATGCGCTCCCCAAGATAGCCTGAACCAGTCAGTTAGGGCTCGTGTTAGACTATACAACGGGTTGCAACTGACTTTGTCCCAGTATACAAATCCATATCCTGAACTCGTTAATCACCGTACATAACACGGGGGTACGTTAGACACCCACCTATTAACATTGCAGGCATGAAGAAGAGATCAATCTTGCGCAGCACACGCTTCTCCACTGCAGGGTCGATCTCCTGCGCTTCGTCGCTCACCACCGCCAGTGCGGCGTCCTTCTCGAACGTTTGGGCATCTGGAGATGAGCGGTGCTCTGCCGTAGCGCTCGGCACTTGAATCATTTTGATAGTGCGTGTCTTACTAGATCTCAGCACGGAACATTCTCAAGGGCAAGATTCTTCTCGATGGCCGTTGAGAGGGAAAAAGAATTTTCCACCATTTTAACCTCAACCAGTGACAGATGACTTAGTATGACTTCGGTGAGAGCACTAGACACGAATTAACGGAAGTTTACGAGGTCGATGGAGATTATGGGGAGATTTTACTGGCTCAGGGAAATGCCAAAGCTCGGATTGAGTGGTGCGGAGGACTCCGTTCCTGAGGCCACCCTTCCTATCCGGGACTAGCTTGGGGTTCGTACCCGACATGCATATCGAATTGGTATTGGGATCGACCTTATTAAAACAAGCATAGTTTGTGTATGGTTGATAAATTCCCAGTAATACTTTGAGATTCAGATTGAAAGGAAAGGAGGAGAACCAACTGACTAGACCCTTTGTGAGAGAAGCAGAAACATCTCTCCAGTAGCTAGAAATAGGTTGACCTGACAGTGGACTAGTTAGAAGGCAGGATAGATCAATGTGGCGTATGACACATATGGCTAAGTCTCGTATGTACCCTGGAGGATCTTCAGCTGTTTAGGCAGGAGGGCTGTAGCATTGTCAGCAGTTCTAAGTAGCCTGCGTGAGGTGAGACTATCGACTGGTGAGTGCTGACTTGCGGGTCGGCCTACTAGCCGTATATAGTAGCTACTGCCGCGGATATGCCCGCGGACATTCCGCAGCTTCGAAGTATTAAAGCCACCATGGACGAATATGAGGAGCACTCGGTCAGGACAATTACCAATGCGAACACATGTTATTAAAAGAATGTCTGAACATCGGAAGGTATGTCTACATTCATAACTCCATTATCCCTTTACTAACCTCTCAGGCAATCATTATCGGGGGAGGTCCTGCCGGTCTCTCCACCGCGCTGCGTCTCCACCAAACGACAAACATCAAATGCAGCATCTATGAACTCCGACCTGAGCCGACTACCCTCGGTGGTGCCATCGGCATCATGCCTAATGGCCTCCGACTGTTCTCCCGTCTAGGTGTTTATGACGCCCTCCACGCGCGAGGTAGCAGTCGGAGTAACCTCATCATCCATTCTGCACAAGGTGGGATTGTAGGCAAGCAGGAGGATATGGTCAGCTACGCACGCGCGCAGACAGGCTTTGGGTATCTCCGAATTAAGCGAACGGATCTTGTCGACGTTCTTCTGGATGCAGTGTACCAAGCTCAAATCCCAATCTATTTCAACAAACGGCTCACTGCCATTGATGACAACGGCGACTCTGGAGTGACAGTGACATTTTCCGACGGTAGTACTGATAAAGCGGACATCCTGGTCGGGTGCGATGGCATTCACTCTTGTGTGCGCCGTCTGTATGTCGATCCCGACCAGAGGCCTGAATACTCTGGGCTTTCGGCACTGTCTTCGCTTGTTCCCACGTCGAGGTTGTCTTCCGTTGCTGCTACACAGGTTTCCGGGATCGGTGCGACGTTGACGGAGCAAGGGATGTTCATGGTGATGCTCGCCACCGCAGCGGGCGATGAGGTAGCCTGGGGTTTGTCGCAGGAGGTCCCGTTGCCGGATGCTGGGGATAGTCGAGATGGGTGGGAGGTGTATCGGCAGAAGGAGGTAAATGGGTTTAAATCGAATATGCATCAGATTTTGGAAAAGTTGCATGGGGACTGGGGAGACCTACTCAGACAGCTCGTTGAGAACACCGACGTGATGAAGTTCTATCCGGTTTACCGACTGCCCCTTGGTGGTGCTTGGTATAAGGGTCGCTGTGTACTTCTTGGCGATGCGGCGCATGCGATGCAGCCCCATGCGGGACAGGGTGTCTCTATGGCGTTGGAGGACACGTTTCTGCTTGCTCGCTTACTGGAAGACCCAAGTCGACCCGTGGCGGAGGTGTACAAGAAATTCGATGAGATCAGGAGACCTCGAGTAAATGAGATCTACAATCTCGCAGCCCAAAATGCGGGGGTCCGGAAGACGACTGGGCCTTGGGGCTTGTGGTCCAAGGAAGTAATGGTTGGGATGGCATTTTGGGCTTCTTGGGCTTTAGGGTTGGAGAAACGGGGATGGGGACAGAAGCATATGGCATACGATATTGATGCGGAGGAAATTTAGAAACCCAAGCACTCGTGGCGGATGTTTATAGCCAGATGTCTGATCTAACACCTTGTGGACGTGTGGTTAGCGTGTACTTTCTTTTTCGATAGTCTTTATTCATGCAGCAATATCTGCTAATGCACTGAAATGAGCGTCTGGAGTAGGCTCATGTGTATAGACGGGAGGGTGTGGGGGGGGATACGAATACAACAAGTTCTCCTCATCAAAAAGACTTGTTTAGAGGAAAGGCTACTGCACGATAGCTACCAATGATCCTCTATCAGGTATGCTCTGAAACAAAACCATATGGTGGATCCTTGTTTATTGGCTAATAGACTCCACCTCAATATCCAGCCACCAAGAACCTAATAAATAATCCAGCGCCATGTGGCGTCAAGCCAACAACGCTTTCTGAGACCTCTCTCACGCTGACTCCGCGTCACTTCAGCTCTCGAGGGCCTGTGCACTTGTGCCACCTGAGAACCGGAGATCGCGTTTTGTTTGCCCCCATGGGTATACGTCGTCTATAATCGACCGAAGTTTACGAACAAAGCTCTGATACCAAGGTCCATCCTTGTAGCCATACATCACTCTAGACCAACAATTAGATCGATGGGGGGGTCCTGGTATAAAATGGTACGCAAGGGGGAACAACGCACAACTTGCCATCAACGCGGCGGACACGGTATAGGTCGTGGGGGAAATCGGGACCGAGCTTGCCAGAGTACTTGTCTGCCTCGAGATCAATCACAACATGTAGTTTGGGGTCGATCTGCGGTATATCAGGGTTCGAGGGTTGGATGTGGATGAAATGACGGCTGGTATCAAGTTCCTCGAGTGAGCGACCGGTCTTTTCAAAATAGAATCGAACTGGCTCGTAGAGGTCTGCTTCGTCGAGGTCGGCTTCTTGCAAGCGTAGAATTACTCGCTTCGGCTGATCCATCTGGGCTTAGTGAAGGAGTGTGAACAAAAGCTTGTACGGCTTGCCGGGGAGAGTTATTGTTCTTATGTTGCCAGCAATCAATGTTTGTTTAGTAGGAGATCAGCAAAGAAATGCCAACGAAATTGATACGTTAGACAGAATCCATTGATCGGCCGCGTCTGCAATCAGACAATAGTAGCTAGAAACATGAATATCCCTTTGTATCCCAATCTCATTGGCCGCTCTTGTGTGACCGGTCCAAATTATCCCCCGTCCTTGTCCTCCACCAAGTTCCCAGTCCTTATTGCTGAAGCTTAGATACACACTACGTTGCAGAGTTGTTAGTCCTGCATTCTTAGGCCATTTCATTTACTTACGTGGAATTCAAACGATGAACATGAGCTCGGAGCCTTCCGAACTCGGCGGCGTTTCGCCCCTACAAACAGGACATAGACCGTCTAAGTAATCATTCTCTATGTCGATGACACGGTCAAGATCACGCAATCGGCCACTGGGTGGTAAGCAAAGCCGTCGATTTGGGCGCCGAAACGCAGCGTTGCAACGCTGGTAGTCCCTAGCCACGGTATGGCCGCAACTGCGACGACCGTTATATCGCTTGCAAAGTAGCTCACACATCCCAGATAGGAATAGTACTAGCTCGTTGGATAAGTATACTTCACCGTCACGCCCAGGAAGCAGACGAAAGAACTTTACTAACTCACAACACTTAGGCTTTTGGATGAGATTATATACATTGGGTAACACCTTACTTTGAGAAGTTTGAGTATATCGCAGGCATATCACCCGTGAGTTTGTGTTGCAAGGTGACCAACGTGGTATTGTGCTTGCAACGGTCTGATGGTATTTGGCATCGTCCTGTTTGGTTCTGAGCTACCCTCCCCTGTCATATTTCCCTTGACATAAAGCGTAAAGGTCGCAAGCGCGAGGCTCAAGTGAGCTAGGTGTAAGGGCGTCTACCTGTGGGATATTCTCCGAGGGTACAAGCCTGCACTTCGTGCAACTGTTAGTGATGATAAGGGTTGGTTTGGTTGGTTTATTGGTCTTTTACACATTGTTGGCGTGATCGCTCACACTGTACCTCAGTGACCAGGAAGCCTAGTTGGTCGGCAAGGTTTCATCATATCCTAGCTTACACAAAGCACAAGCAATTGCTACCAGCCAAGATCATCCCTAATGGTATACTTTTGTCACACAGAGTGTAACCAACCACAGAGAGGCTGACCAGGTCTTTACTCAACGGAGGAGTCTTAAGGCTTTCGTACAGTCTACACCGAAAATAATGATATACGAGACGGGACGGGACGACGAGCTTGTCTCGCCATGCTTAACAGTGATTGGCCGCTAGCCCTCGACTACTGCAGAGTCTCATCTATATAGGAGGTGCGGGAGCGCTTCGCAGGTCCAGCAGGTGTAATTGCGAGTATGTTGGGGGAAGAGACTACTTGAAAGCCCGTCTGGTTCAAGCTCAGAAACCAAATATCTTGATCAAGGCAAGCCCTTTATTATTGTGGTGTGCTTTCACCGAAGTGGAAGTCCATATCATCCAGCAGGGAGTTCCACTGCGGGATGTCGAGCTCTGGGGCGACCGCTAGAAAGTCAGACCACAGCTGGTCCCATTCTTTCTCCCGGATCCCTGCCTCAGATGGAACGTTCCTGTAGGGAGCCGCATCGCCAACTAGGATTGGATCCTCGGCTTCTGGCGATTGCACTGTATCTGCTGTATGACTGGACAGAGATGTGTCATGAAGATCTCGCGAATTCTGAGGGTTCTGAGGGGCTCCGCTGGCTGGCACAAGGGTATCTTTACCTATTCCCGTAGGGCCTCCTGATTGTGAACCAAGGAGCTGTGGCCGCTGTATGTTGAGGGTCGACATGAGGGTCTGCATATTTCTCTGGATTGTCTCTACCAGGGTACTCGACTCTTCCTTTGACTTCTCGAGGGTTTCATAAGCAGCAAGCACTTTAGCCTTCCGAGCCTCCGCATCTGGTGCGTCAGGGCTAAATGAAACGTCGGTTGCTAAAATAAGAGCGGCGAGAAAAGCATGCTGGTTTGTAGTCCAGAAGCGTCCTGGTTTCAATCCGACCCGTGCACCCGCATCGTCCATCAAGCGGCGCAGCTCTAGGATTTTCTGCGCAGACTGAATACATACCCGGTGAGAATAGGAATATTTCGGGTTTGTCACACCTTCAAGGTGGTAAGGTCGGTGAAGCCGACAGAGGCGCGCGTGGAGACTGAAATGAAGAGTAATTCGCTGCACAGGTATATAGGGACGCTTTTCACATATTGACTGGCTTTGTTCAATGCTGCTGGGGTCTAGTTGAAAGAAGATTGGAAGTTCAGCTAGGAAGTTTTGGAACTTCCTGTCTAGTGCTAGGATGGTTTCGTAGTCTGGCTCTTGTGCCTCTAGCCAAATTGATGGCATCGCATCGACGACTTCACGGCAAAGAGTAGCTAGTTTCACACGGTAGATAAAGGCGGACAGTGAGGAAGGTTGGGATAAGGGACGGTCCTGCGGTATCCCTGCTAGTGTAATTAACTCATCGTCAATATTAGTGGGATAATCGACCATCATATGCTTTGGATGGATTAAGTATGCCCCTTCCTTGGGACCACCGGAAAATGAGTTTAGCCTTCGCTCGTCAGTGATAAGTCAAGCTGAATGTATACTAGACTCACCAGTCGCTTGCCAGCATGTTCCACCAGATCCGTCTTTGAACCTCGAGTTCGATTGGGTTGTAGCCCTTCAGCACTCTTTGTTCACGACTCTTTGGAGTATCTAAACGATGGATCTGCATTGCTCGTGCCATAGTGTAGCAACGGAAGCGGATTAAAGGAATTTTGTAAGGATAAGCATCAGAGTTGCCAGCCATATGTGATAAAGTAGCCATAGCCGCAAGCGCAGTAGTAGAGGGCTCCATTGGCTGAGGATGATCTAGGATCGATATTGCGAGTCGTGTGTATACCTTGAAAGCTGCCTGTGCTTCTATTGCCGTGGTGTTCAGCTTCTCCAGAAGCTGGGGTGTCCAGGCAAACATTGAGCCAGCAAATATACTAAGAAATAGCAGCAACCTAGCAGCATCTACCTCCTGGCCTGCAAGCATGGCCTGATATGCATCTTTCATTAGTTCTTTCGTAGAAGGTAAATGGAGGACTCCGAACGTCGGCCCAATAGTTACTGCGAAATGGCTGAACAACTCCCTAGCCTCGTCTATTCGCGGGAGATGTCCGGCTATACTTCTTGTATCCAAATAAGGTTCGCCGTGAGAGGATTGGACGTGAGAATTAACTGAGGTAAAGCTTATACGGGAGTTCTGTTCCTACGGAGACACAAATATTACGATTTGTTTCCCAAGCAATACATGGGGAATCACATACGTTGTTTGATGGGGATACCGGAGATAAATGGGCTGCCTTGTTTGATTTCTGGAAGACCGCTTCTTCTAACTTCTGGAGACGGTACAATACCTCGTCCGCGTTTCTTCCGTGGCATGGTTAGCGACAAAACCAACCAGGGGAATACGCTCAACTCACAAAGAAGCAGGCACTGCCCGCATAGCCCCCGGGGCAGCCGGTGGATTTGGGATAATCGGCAATTGGTTGGAATCAGTTGCTATTACGGATGCCTGCCTCCCAGGTAGCTGGCTATGGTCACTTTGCCCGGCATATTCGCACTCGAGATGTCTCTGCGCGCAACTGGAGCAGGGCTGGTTGCGATCACACCGACGTTTTTTCTCCCGGCAAGGTTTGCACGACAGAGGTGGTCGGTTCCACCGATGTATCATCATTACAGGAGCCCCACTGTGATTTCGTTTCATGATTTGGCTTCTCGCTGGATGATCGCAGGGGAGAGGGACATGAGATGAACACCAAAAGAGGCGTAAAAGTCCGCGGGTCACTATCATCGAATGCGGCTAGTGTCTCCGCGGACATTGACGGTCACGTGGCACATATGGCTCCTTTCATAATGTTGAATAACAAGATCTGTAGATACACCTTCCAAGGCCAAATTTGTGGAAACTGCGCTGTCTAATAGCTCCTCATCCTTGATACCACCGTATTTGGTGCCAAGCTGCTACGATTCAAGTGATTTATATGATCTCGCTCTCTCCGATTGAACATAGTAGACCTAGATTCGAGATACCATATATATTTGGTGGCTGGTGTGCTTGGTTTCTCAACTTCCTGCCTCTGATGCAATATTAAACTCGGTAATTGTTTATAAGTACTTGTATCTGTTTGTCACCTCATCTACATACCAAAGAGTTTACCTCTGCTTCCCAATCATGCCTTATAAAATTGTTAGGGCTCCGTCAGGATGTATGACGTCAGGGGAACTGGGGCGGAATATAGATTCCGCTGGAGGATGAATGGACTCGGCGGAAAATCTAGAGGCCCGCTTTTCACACCACGTGCATTATTTGATTTCTCGTCCCCTCAACAAAGATCCGTCCGGTGCCTGGTATAGCTATGGCTGATAACAAGCCCTCGCCGAAGGGTGTCAGTGGCCCGAGCCCTAAATCAGGCCCAAGGCGGAATTTATCCTCCGCCCCCGGGAAGGCGGGAGGGCGGAGCAGATATGCCTCAAGAGCTTGCCAGGAGTGTCGCCGACGACGTGCAAAGGTGGGTCAATCTCTCTATCTAGCCAAAGAGTTTCACGGCCCTTGCTTGCCGCCTGCTGATACTCAATAGTGTGACGGTAATAAGCCATCGTGCTCTCGATGTCTTGACCGCCAGGTGCCTTGTAGTTATACTACGGATGATGACGGCCGGGGAACGGCTCCGAAGGCTTATGTCCGACAGCTGCAGGCACGGATCAATATTCTGGAGCGGATACTCTGGCTCCATTCTATCGATGTTGATGCGTCCGCGGCTCAGTTACTGGAACAGAACGTGGTACCCAATACCACGTCACTGACTACTGGCAGCTCTTCCTCTGCTTTTGACCAGCTCTGTACTGCCTTTGAGGGCACACTTTATATAGATGACTGCCTTAATTTCGATAGTGATGGCGAGGCTCGTTACTTCGGTTCGGCAAGTGGCCGCACCGCGTTTCATGGATGTAATGGTGGGTTAAAGTGCAAATACCCACAGTGGGTATGTGAACCCTACGGCTAATAGCTATGATACAGAGTATCTGGAACAGCCTAATCTGGAACACCATCTTGAAGCGCCAAATATATACATCCAGGCACTTTCTAACGGGGCTCGGATTCCCGAAGAGCTCGAGTCCCATCTGCTTGAACTATTTTTTACCTGGCAAAGTCCATTTTGTCAAGTTATAGACGAAGCTCTTTTCCGTGAGAGCAAGGAAAGCAATGGGAGGTATTTTAGCCCGTTACTACTCAATTGTATACTCGCTTGTGCATCCCGCTACTCCGATCGAGTCGAGGTGCGGTCGGACCCTGAGGATTCCAATACAGCTGGCCGTGTCTTCCTCGAATTCGCAGAAGCGCTTCTGTATTTAGACCTTAAGCGCCCGAATATTACAACACTGCAGTCTCTCGCCGTGTTGGGGACAGCATATGTGGTGAGTCTACCCAGCATGCTGAGATCTCTTGTCTAACACAGTCTCACATAACAAGGCTTTCGGTCATGATGCCGCTGGCTGGCTATGCCAAGGTATGGCTAATCGACTAGTACTGGACATGGGACTTCATTTGGATTCAAACATACTGAACAGCCCCAGTCGTATCATTGAGACCGAAGCAGAACTTCGGAGGCAGATATACTGGTCTCTCTATTGTGACGACAAGTTGGCCGCCAGCTATACGGGCCGGGTCTGCACTATGCTTGTAAGATATCTTTGATCCTATTCCGATCAGGGAACTACGGTCAAACCAGCCTTATCCTTTACTAAGTTTACCTAGGACTTCCAAGGTGTAGTAGGCTTGCCATCCCTACCTAGTCCAACCGATCAGCCTGATCAACGCTGCACCTCGACTCCGGTCAGCCGAGCTCTGCTAGTTCAGTTCCAAAGATCCCTGATTGCTCTCAGCCAGATACTAGAAAAGATTCATCTTAATCTGTAAGTCTGCAACTCAACTATCGGTTTACACCTTCACTAGTTCGCTAACATGCACATGCAAGGTACGCACCCAAAAGACTCGCCCACGGAGGCCAAAAGCGAAGCTTCTTCGACTCGTGTCTTCTTGCCCTCAAAACTTGGTGTTACGGCTTGCCACCTGAACTCAAACCGGTAAGGTCGGGGACACAAAATAAATTCCCCCAGGCCTACACGCTATGCATGATATACAACACAGCCATTATTCTTCTCACAAAGCCGTATCTCGCAGAGCCTGGATCGCGACGCTCTCCCAGCCCACAACAGCCGGTACAGCAGCCACTTGATAGCCTCACCCAAAAGGCCTCCACCGTTCAGCTTGAGGCCGCCAAACGGATAGGCTCACTGGGCGAACAATATCGGGAGGTGTTTGGTAGTTTCCGTAAGAGCCCCGTAACGGCTACCTACTGCAGCCTTTCCGCTGCTCTGGCACTCCTTAATCCTTATCCCCAAGGAACGCAGGATGCAGGTCGGAGTGACATTGATATGGACAAGGTGAACTCATGTCTCAAAACCCTCCAGGAGCTGTCTGAATCGTGGGTACCTGCTGGCAAGTACCATTGTAGTCTTGTGCGAATGATAAACGGCCCTGATGCCAGCGGACAACAAGCATTTCCTGGGAAGGCTAACGCCGCTTCCGATGAGGTATACGTGCCGTCCTGGAGTCAAGCATACAACCGGAGCCCGAATGTTTCGCCTGAAGGAGGATGGGATCAGAATGGTGCTGGACTGGATTGGTCGATGTGGACGAACTCGGGCTTAGCAAATGACGGCTCGTTGGCCCCTGGTGGGCAGATACCTGGACTGTTCGATTTGCCTTCGTGGCTGCATGATGAGATGGATAGCAGTATCAATGATCTCTCATGGGAAAATCCTTTATAATTATATAAATATTGTCTCTCGTACTGGATGAAATAAGTCTATTTTTTACTAAACACAATACGCAAGTGCAGGATTATCCCATAACCAACAAAACACATAATAATATAGGATCAGCTGTCTACTTAGGACCACTACTGGAGACGGGGAATAATGCTTACAACGGTTGTTGACCACAGCCTGCCCCACAGGAGCACATCAAGGAATGTATATTCCGCAGAAAATATGTAGGAGCCAGACAGGGCTGATCGATGCAACTACCCTACCGGCACTTGTGTTCCCCAAAAATAAGCCGTTCGATTCGTGTCCATGACCATGTGTCGCTGTCAGTCCGTTATCGTTGGCCCCGACTTTTTTTTCAATTGACCGACTCACCAGTGCTTCCATTCTTACGCAGTTACCACAGTTTCAACGATCAACACAATTCTCTGACGACAACAAGTCAAAAGGCTTTTGTTCCCTATTGGGAAAGCCGTATCTTATGCTTGAACATCAATGGTGCCTAATTCCTACCAGAAGAGAATAATGTCGTCCTTTTCGTCGGATACCCCTCTTGCTTACGCCTTTCATTGGCTTGGAGCAAGAAAGATATTTAGCTTTCCGGAGGAGCGGGACGACTACAATTTGGAAATCTCCAGTGAAGGATGGAAGCGAGTGCCTATTGTGCAAGACCAGAGGGGGCTCAATGAAATGGACAGAATGCAACATTTGCCCCCAGCTGCCGGCTCAGAAACCCTCGACCTTGAAGGCGCAGTTAAACCTACGCAACAATCTGAGCTTCCTCAGATACCCGCAAGAATACAACATGCGCAGCACTACCTACCAAGTCGATTTGACTTGGAGAGCACAAGAACTCTGTGTATAAACGAACCAGAAGGCCAATATGTCATGGTTGATTGGTACGGTGCCACCGATCCGGCAAACCCTCTGAATTGGCCCAAACGTAAAAAGTTCGTTGTTTATTTCATTATCCTCTATATCTCGTTTGCTGTTTATATGTCCGGATCGATCTATGCAGCGGCACAAAGTGAGGTTGAAGAGGTTTTTGGAGTATCTGCGACAGTCTCAAGTCTTGGGATCGGGCTTTATGTGTTTGGATACGGCGTTGGACCGATGTTCTGGTCGCCCCTGTCCGAGATTCCAGCTGTTGGACGTAATATTCCTTATCTTGCATCGTTGACAGTCTTTATCCTGATCTCAATTCCAACAGCACTGGCATCCAATATTGAATCTTTATTGGTGCTTCGGTTTCTTCAGGGCTTCTTTGGGTCCCCAGTCCTTACCACAGGCGGCGCATCGTTGGGTGATGTTAGCAGCGCGTATGGAAAGCCTTATGCCTTCTACAGCTTGGCATTATTTTGTTTAGCGGGGCCCGCCTTGGGGAACACCATAGCTGGCTACAGCATCCCTGTGTTGGGATGGAGATGGAGCTTGTGGGAGGTCCTTCTAGCCAGTGGGCCCGGACTGATCCTACTCGTAAGTCCAATGACAAAAGAAAGCCTGGGGTTGACAGAGCTGATAAGTCTTAGATTTTTCTACCAGAGACATCCGAAGCCAATATTCTGTATCGCCGTGCCCAAAGAATCCGAACATTGTCACAGAAGGAGATTTACAAGTTCGAACCAGAAATGGAGATCGAGAACACCACTATGCTGAATAGACTGCACCGGGCCCTGATTGTTCCCTGGAAGTTGAACACTCTCGACCCATCCATCGCATTCACAAGTATCTACTGCGGTCTTGTCTATGCTATTTTCTACTCTTTCTTCGAGTTCTTCCCTCTAGTTTACGGCAACATATACAACATGACACTGGGGGAGCAAGGCTTGGTTTTTCTATCTGTTATCATCGCGGTGGGATTGGCCGGTATTCCTTACTGCGCCTTTGTCCATTTCGTCGTCAATAAATCAATCAAGAACGGCAATGCAATGACGCCCGAAGGACGACTGCTCCCTTCGCTAATTGCCTCGGTGCTAATCCCTACCGGAATCCTGATATTTGGGTGGACATCGAAGCCCAGCATCCACTGGATTGTACCAACTATAGGCACCATGCTCGTTTCAGGCAGCGTTGTTATGATAATCCAGTCGGTGTTTGTCTATATAACTCAGTCCTATCCCAAGTACACTGCTTCACTGTTCAGTGGGAACGGACTGGTTAGGTCTTCGGTCGTATTGGCTGGTGTTCTTTGGTCTCACCCGTTGTATGACGCACTTGGTGTGCACTGGGGGATGACTTTGATGGGCGGTTGTTGTGCGATATGCATTATTGGTATTTATGTTCTGTACTTCTTCGGGCATAAGTTCAGGGCAAGGAGCAAATTCACGGAGTAGGCTCTGTGGTTACTGCCCTGCCTCTTTTTACAGAAGTTTCGATACTGTCTCTCAGCCTTATTCCGACGAAAGTCATGTCCACCTCCAGGAACAAAGAACATCCCAGACAAGAAATAACTGCGACAAAGAAATGCTCTACTTTGTCATCATGGGCGTCAGATAAACCTACAAGGAATGTCGTACAACCATGGACCGTAGACGTGGATACGATCCGTGCAAGACAAGCCCGGAAGTGAGTCTCACTGCTACTGAAAATACTCTAGCAGTATTGCTACCCACTTCTCGATGCCTATCAGTACCTCAATCAGCCAACCTCTTCACACAAGGATGAAATCACAGAGTAGGCCAGGAGAAAGTGGGGAGTGCGGCCTTGAGGATGTGGACATTGCCATGACTGAATTCATATTCCGCACCCTAGTCTCTGCGGGGTTTTTGTATCGAGTGAGGACGTATATAGCTTATGGGATATATTGTTTTACAACAATTACAGTCTATCGCCCCTGTCTTCCTCTCTTACGTCTGGTCCTGAATTCTCCAATTTAATTCGTCTGGACCTTTGTAACCCAACCCTACGATGGCAGCCATGAGACAATACGCCTACAAAGGCTTCGGCGAAGCCAACAGAAAAAGCCACTGGTAATCATCCGCCGTCCGAGTCGGGGACTAAATCCACTGCGCCGGTCAGGGTAATTACTTCTTAGATCCCCATATGCACGTACTTGTGTGAGGTTACTAGCATCCATACAGGAGGCTTCTACGACGCAGACTTCAACATCTCCAAGCTTGTACCGGAGCAAATCAACCAAGCTTTCGTGAACGTGGATACGGCTCTCAAGGACACCGGTGCCAAGGGTTGGTCGCAGGTCTACAGAGTCAACTCTTACCACATCCAACTGGACCAGGAAGCGCAGGACGCCATGGTTCGTAACTTCAAGAAGTGGATGCCTGACAACCATCCCGTGTGGACCTGTGTGCAGATTGGTCGTCTTGGTCATGATGCTATGAGAGCTGAGATTGAGGTTTCGGCGTTCGATCCTGAGGGTGCTAAGGAGGCTGAGACGAGTCGGGTTTGAGGAGTTTGGGTGAGATGTTGTGATAGATTTGGTGATGTTACTTGATCTATGCCTTGTTGGGATTGGGGACTGTTATGGACAATATAGATCGGGCTGTTGAGATCTATGACGAAACGGACTCAAGGGAACAATCACACTCAGATTGCCGTCAATTCTTTTCGTACATCGTAACTTTTTATATTAGACCTTCTTGTTTCTGAACACAAAAGTCACGAATACATGGATCTAATGCAATGGCTTTCATTCTTCTAACAATACGTTAATTTATCCATGATGACAGCAATTCCACTGGTAACAACAATTCCACTTCCTCATCTAGACGAATTGATGAAGATGATAGCTTTGAGTTCGCGTCTCAAGTTCTCACACCCGCGGTACGAGACAAAAGCTGTCTGCTTGGTGTCCTCTGGGTTCACTGACCGGTTCTGCCTCTGTGCCCTGGGGTTATCCGCCGACATGGCTCCTCTGATGACATCCGCACTCTGATAGGCCGAAGGGGCATCTATATCGGACGATGGTAGGCCAATCCACTTGGCAGTCAATCGTCTCCAGTCATCACCGGTGGGTTCCCAACATGCTAGGCGTCGCTCGTCAGGTGTACCAAAGACCATGATGGCACCGGCTGTACCTGCATATTTCTTGGCTGTCCACAGACTTGCTGTGGTGTAGATCCCCGGCCCAAAATCATTGTCAGCGTTGGTCGAACTTAGAACAGGGAGGAAGAAGGCCAAGGATCTCTCAAGAGCCAACAGGGACAGCCCTCGGAATAATGTATCCTTCCGCTGCAGAAGACCATCCGTGAAACGAGCCATCATATCCCTTTCCAATCTGTCAAAGTTTCGATTATTCTGGATTCGTACAACTTTAATTGCCTCACCATTGGTCACTGTTCGCGAGAAGGGATATAGTGTCTTAAGCTCTTGCGTTGTCACGGTGCTTGTAACCGAGGCAGGGATTGAGCATTTTCTCACTGCTCCACTTTGCAGCCCGGGTATATGGTCCCAGGGAAATATGCCATCCTCCTGGTAGCGGGAGAGCAGAAATGAGACGGGGGAAGACCCGATTGGGATACCCACAATCTCATCGTCAATGACATAGGCTGGATCGTCGATCATCCGGACCACATCAGGCCGACCACACATGTGGAAGATCGTCCGGGATGATCCGACCATCTGGAGATACCGTGCTAATGAGACGTTAGTAGTGATCCTTGACAAAGAAGCTTTTCCCCTTGCATACCGTACTTTTGATTCTCCCCAAGCTCCTCCGCTATCTCGACGGGCATCTCGTCCCCCGCGTAGCCCTGATCCCTATACCATATTGGGTCAAAGCGTACGTGGTCATAATCGGTGTTGTCGTACATCGGTTCTCGATCATCATCGTCATCTGTTTCCTCCTCCTCCTCCTCCTTTGCCTCTGGCTTTTCTTCTTCCTTTTGTTCTTCTCCAGGCTTCTCCTCAACCTCCAGATTCTTGTCGATGTGGCTGGACATGTCTGGCGTGGTGGCAATGTGATGCGCTTTCTGTCGGTGAATCACTCGCTCACATGTGAACACGTTGGGAGGTGCAATTTCCTCCAAGGGAAGGGGTCGCTTCTTATAGCAAGCGATTGGCGCGATTTCACTCATCTTGACGGCCGAATATGAGCTAGTGCTGATGTACTATCAAGGCCATCAGCCAAAATAGAAAGGGTAAGTGCCTATGCCTGGAACTGATGGTTTTACGTCTACAAGCTGTCGCTTCTACAGGCTCTATTTAAGCAGGAGCTCCCCCTGCTATACACTACTTACAGTATTCTACAGGTTGTAGACAAGAGCGCGCCATGTGCGCTCGTGTCCGTATGTTAATACTCACAAGTTCACCAGTCTGCAAAGGTCTGTACACAAAGGGAAGCAAAAGGAAAACAATCGCCTCGGGTGTCTGTGGAGGAGAGTAGAACGTGATCGATGTAGAGATATGATTGCTACGAACAAAGACTCCCATTCTTGTCTAACCTGCTCTATCAGAGGTCTTCAGCCTAGGAAAGAGTCCCGTAATAAAGAGTTCTCTCATAAACAGTGTCTTTGTCTTTCCTTCCTGCTATTCAAAGGGATAGCTGCTCATCACCATCCAGACCCATCCTAGATAAACCAGTTAGGTACCCTTTGACCATCAAAGCCTCCATTGGTCGCTAAGTCTCAGCCCCGTTGGGGAGGGATCCGATGGATCCCGATACTATCTGCGTGAAGATAGTAATCCAGCCACTGCCTTTGACAGTGGGCATGGCGGCATTAAGCTAGCCCACCGTGGTGGTTCTACGCATATGACAAAGGAAGATCGACCCAAAAATGCTCTAGTTCTGTCGTACTCTATACTCCGAGGTTACTCACTAAGCATCCTCTGCCATAAAGGGAAAGATGCGAAGTTCTGCAGGAGAGCAGTTCATTAGTGTCGTGTTTGCCTGACAAGACTGTGCGTCAAAGAGCTCATGTTGTGCCCATCTATAAATAGAATGACAGCCTTTCACCGACTGGATAAAGAGCACAACCGAATGCAAACTGTCCATAAGTGGAGTATGGCGACGGTGCTGAGTAGGGCTTGAGGGCAATGGTGTATATCAGAATAGGACTAGTGCACCAGTCGAATTAGTCTAGCCTAATCGGGTAAACACGATGTTGCGCTGTTTTCTTGTCCTGGTAACTTCATGACCATTTATGATTACGAGCGAGGCTTAACATCACTTTGTCATTCTTTATACAGCTCTAATAAAGAATTAACGACAGCATTGTGCTTTACCCAGCATTTACTGAGCCCAGCGGAGTGGACAATCTGGAGTCCCAGAACACGTTACACTGCCCACATTGTTCAATTTGTATTTGGTTTATTGATATTATATGATGTACACTTGCTTTCAGAAGTAGATAAAGCCAAAAGTTATATGCATTGTCATGGAGAGAATCGCAGTAGTTTCCTGTTTCCATGACCACCAGTCACCGTAGGCTCCATCCTAGGTACTCAGCGGCGGCCGGACTTTACTTGATTCAACGCAACTGGCAAAGAAGTCGCTTGCGCCAGGCCTGATTGCAGACTGATACATCGTAGCTGTGCTACTATCCATTGCCGCGTATCCTCCGAGTTGGTGTGCATACAGCCGGCAAGCAAGAGCATCCAGCTGGCAAAATACGCACCGACTCCTGCGCCGGTATACGTAGATTGCTCGAAGCCGAGTGAGCTGTCGACAGCTGTCGTTGAAAGAGCAGACAGTTTGGAGCCTGATATCGTCGCTTGGTTGTAATACTGCCCCAGGTTCACTGGCTGCACTTGTTCCTGGGCAGGGAAAGGGAAGTAGCTCATCTGCTGGGGCACGGAGGCCAGGATATCATCGCGGATCTGCCTCATCGTTCGGCTGGTCTCCTGCAGTTGGTCGCTGTAATTTCTGGAAAAGAACCAACTGGGGTCCGACTTGGCTCCCCGTAGTAGAAGATGGCAGATGGCGTGGTTGGCCAAGACGCGACAGGTACGCATATCGTTCCAAACGCTGACGACCCCGACATCGTGACAGCTATGGTAGACATCACCATGACCCTGGCAGGGTCCGGACTAGCGAGTTGCACGACAGTGAACTGCCACTCAGGTGAACATTCCGAGAATCGGCTCTCGAGGCGGTGGTCAATATCCAGAGCCTGGGATAGGTACCGCTCTAGCTCGTCGATAGGCAACTGCCGTTCTGCGGTGCTAACTCCACTGTTGTTGACTTCGCTACCCTGGATAAAATCATAGCCTCCTGGGGATATCTGGGAATAGAGATCCATGATGTCCACGAGGCCACTACTGGCAACCCAGTAGGGGTCGGATGCACTAATTGCTTTGGAAGCCTCGGCGCGAATCATACGGAGGGGTGCGGGGATTGCACTCCCCATGCGCAGACAATTTATCAAGAGATGACTGAAGATGTCCTTGAATATCTGGAGGCCAATGGGAGTGGTAAATTGGGTCTTGCCCCGCAGCTCTAGCAGTGAGGTCGCGCCCTGGATATGCCGATCCCATCCATTAAGCGACGATTCGCCGAATTCATAGAGGGATAAAATCAGAACCGTGACGATCGTGCTATGCCGACGTGCCGTCGGCGGGTCTGATAGAGCTTGGTTCATTCGTTTGATAGTTCTCGTATACATGGCCCTTGACCTACGTCGTAGATCGGCCTGACGGGTGCTATGGGCCAATCCAGCCAAGCCCACGGCTAGAATGGCACCCTGCAGTATCTCATTGTCATCGTCTAATGTAAGAATTCTGGGTACGTAGTCGAGAAAACCAGATGAGGGTGGAGATTGTCGCACGACATAGTTTGCTAGGAAATAGTTCAACCCGATCATATCGAGTGGCAGGGTAAATGGTCGGGGAATCGTCCTCTGATCATCAGAGTCTTCCTTCCTGTCTTCCTCGCCGTTGGCTACATTCTCGCTCCCCACCCCGGGCCAGAACGAGGATGTACTGCGCTCCAGCGCGTCCGTACTCACATTGTTAGCATCCAGAATGGTGTTATTCACTTGCAGAGCATTGCTTCCCACGAGGTGCTGACTATGGTAAGTGAGTAGAGGGTCCTCAGTAAGTAACCCCTGCTCTAGTTGCACTTGTGATCCTGCACTCTGCAGTCCAGCTACCGAACCCGGAGTACGCGCACGAGAAGTGTCACGTTTCGTGATTCTTGCCCGCACTTTGTCGCCAATCTGGCTGCTCTCGTCTCGAAAGAGAAGGCTCGTGGGGTCTCGATAGCCAGGGCATTGCTGTCCCATACGTCGACATTGTCCACATCCGGGGACAGCCTTGTCGCACTACCACCCATTATCCGGGCCACTGTCAGTGTCACTTAAAGTTAGAAGGAGAGAAGGAACCCCATATTGAGGTAATATTCCCAGAAATAGAAAGCCGACATACTCGTCTCTTCTTGGCCCGGCAGGTCTCGCAGCTGGTGGAAGGCCGTCCACAATACACCATGGTTGCCTGAAATCGCGGGGTAAAAACTGGGGCCGGCAAAGGGAGACGGAAGAGGAAAGCAGTTCGTCGTGCGGCTGTGAGCTATCGTCCCAACCAGCTTTACATAGGACGAGCACCTTGGGAAGCGGGTCTCTTGCGCGCCTTACTTGACCTGTCATGCTACGTGCTGGCACCAAGCCTTGTTCCCAAGACTCACTTAAAGACTTAGTCGCTTATTTCTGATGACCAATCAATCAACCCGAGTCCGTATGCGATTACGGGCACACCGTGTAGGTTTCTCAGGCTGCCTATGAGCTACTTACCAGTCTGCTGAATATGACTTTTTACCTTCGTATACAGTAGTTTGCACAGTTGTCCTGCCTACCCTGGACTTTAGTTATTATTTGTCAACCTCCATACCAGTAACACTAGTATGTATATACGTAGCCGGTGTATAGACCCTAGTACAGTATATTCAACTCAGTATGTATTATAAGGACAATATTATTTCCATTGTCATGTAATTTATCGGTAATACTCATAGTTTCTTTTACACTTAACTGTCCTGCAGATTAATGTTTTCGTATTCTCCGTATCGAGACACTTAACAGTGTCGGTTTTTGTATAGAGATGGCCCCGAATCTACCACTATCAGAAACCCAGCTTATTGTGAAATGTCAGATGGCGGTATATGCACGCCCAAGACTGCTGACGCTGCAGGGTGCAGTAAATAGGCAATTAAATAAATCTGTTCCAGCCTCCAAGTCTTTGCTTCACCTAGAGCGCCGTCGAACTGAATGGGTCAGTTTTGTATAATGACGCCATCTATACTAGAAGCCATTTAAAGAGAAATAATAAAGGTTCTACTGGGAAGACTACTTTCATATCTTACTGTACTGGGAAGCAAGCTTTATATATAGAGGAAGCAGTATTATTGTAAGAGATAGAGCCAGGGCACCCTATTCCCCAAGGCCAAAAGGTCATATAATTCGGGATCAACGATCCCGAATGCCCTGGGGGCACCTATATAATATACCCCCGTTACAATTATATCTTTTAAAGGGAAGCGATGATCAATGTTAATATCTCATATTATTAACTAATAAACTATATAAGTATCCAACATTAATCAGATCTCCTTCAAGATAATAGATAAGGACAGGAGTGTGCTAACGCGGGAAGGTGAAGAAATATGTATCTCCTATAAAAGGCTGGATTTTTGATAGAAGCATTGTAATTTATATAGAAAAGAACATTTTCATTGTGGGTGAGATCACGCGGTTGCTTAGTGCCTACAGGCAGGGCCTTTAGATACCTACAGCTAAGAATCAGCGATTGCAACGATATATATATATATACAGTATATATGAACTATAACTGAATATGATATTTTGTATTTTTACAATGATGGAAGAGTCTAGGATGGACCCGTCCGTATTAAGAACGTTGCTTAGAAAGGCTGACCAGTACTTTTAGTACCTTAATACAGCCGATCTTAATTTTGAATTCCCACTGCTTAGAAGACTATTCTGTTGAGGTATCTCATTGCTCTTAGACACAGTAAGTGATAGCGCTAGTAGGGAAAAGCGGACCGAGAAACCTAGAGTCAGCTTGGTTATAATTTGTATATAAAACACTCCGCATGAGTTGGGCAAGATTATATACTTTATAGATAATCTACATTGCTTGAAATTACTTGCCTAAGGAGCCTATACTTCTCAGTAAACTATAATAGATAGAATAGTCGAGTTGTTCTGTACCTGTCATGTTTATTAGTAGTCTAGTTTAGCTGAGCCACTGTGGATGATTATCAGTGACCATCATCTTTGACCAATTCAAATTAGTTACGGGACGACGATCTTAAAAAGATTGGCTATAATGTAGATCTTATTGATAGTTGAAATACACGACTGCAGATCCTACATTAGGTTTAATAGCGCGCGTCGAGTTGCGGTAGTCAGTTAACTATTAGCCAAAGCTCTCCCAGCTGGATCCACTTTCCCTCATAATTGGCAGAGGCTAACCAATAGACTACTATTATAAAGGACGCTGTGGCCATTTACTCGCTATAATGGAAGCGAGATGGAATAAATTAAATAGATAATAAGAGACTATAATTAACTAGCTCAAAGTATAGACCGAAGTTTCACAGTGGGGATTGTACTGTGTGAGTGAAGGTGTACTATATAAACCCCTTGTGCAACTGGCGTGGGATCAAATTGATAAAAAGCTGAACATCCACTTCCCTTCTTACTCGCCTCGGCAAAATATATCTTTCTCGTTTAGACAATCCATCTACTGTTGACTTATTGGAGCACAGTCTGCTGTTCTAAAATGCGTTTTATCTATTTCCTTGCGCTCATTCTCCCTGCGACTCTGGCTTTACCGACCAATTATGAGGGCAAGGGGCTGGTGGAAAGACAAGATCTGGAGATACCGGCGGTGAAACCGGCGGTGAAACCGATTGGTGAGAAATTGGCGCCGGATCTAGAGGAAAAGATTTTTCGGCTTAAGGCAGCGAGGAATGAGGTGGTGGATCCGGGTCTTCGTGCGAAGCTTGATGAGGCTATTTCCAATCTCCTTAACGGTAGGGATGTGGATGTGGAGAAATTGCTTGAGCTCCTTCCGAGGGTGACAAGGGAGAGGGTGGAAGCTGCTAGACCTCCTATTAGTGAATGATTGTGGAGAGGCAATGCTGGCGATAATCGATGTGAGTACATGGTAAATGATAGCAACTACTGAGCTTTAGGTTAGGCTAACAAAATTTGTAGCGAGAATTGGCCGCGACGATTTGCTGTCTCAGGATCTTATTATTGATATCCAGCAGCCTTTTCGCGTATTACTGATATCTATACGCACACTGCTTCTACATATCTAATGCCTTGATATAGATTTCCCCTGTACATACCAGGTTTTCTTACATTATTGTGCTAATGCAGAGGCGAAAGTAACGATCCCTAGTTTCTACTTGGCTTCTACTCTTGTTTAGTCGGTAGCAGTTTATCTGGCTTTTAAGACAACGAGCGTTTTAAATATAGACCCTGGGTATTATAGAATATAAAGCGTCCACTGATGCCCGATAGCTCAGCAACTAGTTTACTAAATGAAACCTCTATTCACAAAGCAAAAAGCGATATTTGATTATTGTCTATGGTATAGAAGTCCTAGGAGTACTTTTTAAAGGGTTACAGATGCTACTATAAGAGAAACTGTTAATATTGGAATAAAGATTAGTATAATAATACACGACGTAATCTAGACAGAAGTGAGCCTTATTCGGAAACAACTGTAATTATAAATGTAGGAGTATAGTATACCTAAGTAATGTATCCATTTCTCTAAGTCCCTGAAAGCTTATATTACAGACCCTTATCTAGCGTACCTAAGTAACCGCACACGCTCATAGGGTCCAATACATTGTCTATACTATTTCATGATATGTATCGTGAGTATGTCAGATAAGAATAACACCTAGCAATCACTAAGACAATCATTCAATCGAAATTACACTAAAGCTAATTTACAACGTCACAGAAGATGGCGAACCCTGAACGTTCACTGCTCTCAAAGCTTGGTCCTGGACTTGATGGAGCCATCACCGGTGTTTGTACCATCCAGGCCAGTAAATCGGGAGCATAATTCCTTAAGCTCCTGCAAATGGTTCCGCATTCCCCGAGGCGCCGTCTTGTACTTCTTACACAGATGAGCAGCCGCCGCAGTGGCAATAGCATGCTGCCCACCATTACCCATAAACTTCGTATTCGAGCCAGCGACATGCGTAACACTGATATGCTTACCCGCCATCATGAGATTGGATATATTGCTCGAGTAGAGACAGCGAAAGGGAACTTCGTACGGCTGTTTGTCCCGCTCATCCCACTCCCAGTACTTGAGCCGGAAGTCGTACTTTGCATCCTCGTCCCCAGGATAGTGGAGGCAGAACGCCCCGTCGTTATTGACAACTCCGTCAGGGAACTGTTTGTGGCTGCGGATATCGTTTTCGGTCAGAATATAATCGCCCATGTACCGGTGGAATTCCCCCTGAGCCGCAACGAAGGCGACCCATTCGAGCTGGAGGTTGTTGTACTCGGGCTTGGCCTTGACATTCGAGAATGTACCATAAATGGCTCGGAGGAGATGGTCCCGAATATGCTCGCCGTGTGTGTACGGGTCCAATCGCTGGCCATACTCCCAGAAATGAGTGAGCGGGCCCTTCATCCGACGGCGGAGGGAAGTTGATGCATCCAAGCCGCCTTTTGGAGGTACGACAGGACCTGGTCCATTCTCGATACCGGGCTTTACAAGCTGGCCGCCAAGGTTGGAGTAGTCCTTCGCTACTTCAGTGGCCCATGGTACGTTGGGGAAAGGCACTGGGGTGTCTGTCATTTTTGTCCGGAAGAAGACCGTGTTGCCATGGTGTATGTAGTTGTCACCTTCGGTTGGCGCGAGACCTTCGCCATACTTGCTCTTTGATTCCTGGCCGAAAAGGGTCTCCGCTCCTGACAGCAGGCCGAGTATACATTTTCCCGAGCAATCAATGAAGGTGGCCGCAGACAGGCGAATCTCTCGTCCAGTTCGTGCTTCGCGTGCATCCACCGACAGGATACGTGAGTTACTAGTGATGGTGTTGTAAACCGTATGCTCCAAGAATACACTTGCTGTTGTCTCCGCTCTCAGTAGACTCTCAGCATGCAGATCACCATTCGAGTGTCGTTGGGATATCTCCTCAATCAAAGGTCCCGTTATGCCACGCGGTCGGAGCCCAATTTCCACACTTCCATTCCCACCCAGGACAGGCCGGTTGTGAAGAAGTGCAACACGATCACCCAAGCGTGCCGCGGCGAGTGCGGCAGCAGATCCAACAATTCCACCGCCAACGACCACCACGTCGAAGCTTCCCATGTCGACTGGGGTTTGAGGAAGCCCGCGGAGAGCTCGTCTCCATGCCTGTTCTGCATCCGGTGGAGGTGCTTCGCCGGCCCGACTGAGGAATATAGCATCGCAGCGCCCGCAGAACCCAGTCAGATCGTGTAATGCCAGTTTCGTCTTGTCCCCGAGTAGAACAGATCCCCCGTACTCCCACGACCAATCTTGACCATTCGCACCGAACTCAGGGCGGAGTGATTTGCCGTTGACTATTAGATTAAATCGCCCAGGATGGTGGCCAGGGACCCAGTCTTTCGCGCGCACCCAAACGTGATATAATCCGGGTGGTGTATCGATAACAGTTGTGGCATCTGCGACAGGCACACCGTTCCCGTGGGCAAGCAGATAGGGTGAGCCCATCTCCAGGTCGAACTGAGAGTCCATTACCCAACCGCCAAAGTCGTCGAACGACTCGGCTTCGACTAGAATGTCGGGTTGGTGGGTATGTGGAGCGGCCATGGTTGAATGGGATGCTTTCAAAGGTAGAGTTAAAGGGTTATAAACGGTCTAGTTGTACAGTGGGCTGTTGGAGCAGATCGCTCGGCTTTATTTCTATGTTCCCTAATAGTTCCTATGGCCTAGTAACTGGGTAGCCGAGGCAAACAATGAGTCTACCGTTCTATTGACAGCAGGGATATGTTTTGAGATCAGCACTCATGCTGGGCCCACATACCCTGGACTCCAAGATTGGTCATCCACGTCGGTAAAGTACAGTAATTCTTGGAACCCAAAGTTACAAACTCGGCTTGATTGTTTGATATTATCATCTCTGTGCCTATCCGAGACACCTGCTCCCCCAACCGCTGATGGCGTAGATTGGTAATCAATCACAATTCTAGCATATCATGCGACGACAATGGAACGATAGTCAACTACTTAATAGCGTTATATCCAGATCTTCATGTCTATCTCTTGTATGTCGCATTATTCGAGTACACCAACTACTACACAGGTTTATGGCTATATTCAACCTGTGATAAACTGTGTAGTGGTTTTGATCCTTTACAATACTTTCTTCATCTAGACCATAAGCTTACCCTGTTTCTCGAATAAAACGACGGCCAGTTGTTCAAAGAAACTTACTCCCTCACGTCTAACTTGGGCATCGCGCCCGGGGGTGTATTGACAGCACCTTAATAGGCCGTGTACTGCCAATCCCAAGCGATTTCTTCTCCCATTATCATGTCGACAGATTCAAGAGGGCTTCTCCCTTGACATTCTATGTTTTTAACCTGTCAGTGAGAAGGGAATAGGGCTGTTCGCCCAAAACGGAATGGCCGTGCAAGGACTAAACCTTATGTGGTATAGTGCTGTCGAAGTCCTACCCGAACAGGTATGCACGATGCTGACCAATTGAAGGCAGGAAGCCCTATACAGAGCTGACTTTGAAGTCAATAGATGCTAAGCTCCGCCACATAGTAGCGGACAAGGCTTATTTGCCTTTCGATAATCGATACTATGGCCGAAGCTGAGTAGCTGGGCAGCTTAGTTATAAATATCGAGGACGAAGCCCGGTTTTCTCGAGATAGCATCCACACTGCATCATTCTCGTCATTGTCCACCATGCCCGGCAGTTCATACTATACAACATACTATGAGCGAGACTACACATACCAGGAGGAAGACTATCCCTCTCCCCAACTGTCAGCAGCATGTGGTCCTCTGCCACTCCCGATCGTGATTCCACAGCAACGACCGGGGTCCAGGGAACGCGGTTTCATCGCCGCATATGCCCCGTCACTAGAGGCATGCGGCATTGACCGCATGACATTCTTAAAATTCCTAGATGAATGCAATACAGCTGTACAGGGAAATAAGTTCCTAGCCGGTGTACAAGTGGTCTCGTTCGGCGTCGGATTCACACCGGAGATGATCGTGATGGGAGTTGCCACTGCTGTGCAGGCCGGTGCCTACATTGCAAACAAAGGCCATGTCAGACACAAGTAAGGGCACTCCATACCATTCATCCGGAATACAACTAATTGCAATATCCAGAACCAATGCTGTCCTCGATCGCTATAACCAAGAACTGTTCGGCCCTCGCGGCCTCTTCTGCATGATCATGAGTTACGAGCCGGAAACATACGACACGGTTGGGTCTCACTCACCATCAAGCCAGCTTAGTCGGCTCGGATCCCTGGCCTCGCGCAGCTGGGTACGAGACCCAGTCTCGGGAACGTCGCAAGGCGCTCACAATCTTCCCTCCGCTGTTGCGCCCTTGATGTATATTGACGATCGGCGTCAGCATAAAGAGCTCCTGTCCGATGTAGGTCCGCTGGAGCCCACAGAGAAAATCAAGAGATCGAAGAAGGTCAAAAGGGCGCTCGATACGCTCAACGATTACTTGGACCGGAGGGCCCGTGCGCAATACGTAAGTCTTGCTGTCGTTCTTTTTGTGTTCGTTGGCGTGGTTGAAGAAGGCAACTATTAACGGTTTCTATTCAGACAGCCGAGAATTCAGGCGATATTCTAAACGTCCCGCTGACCCGCGGCTTCAAAAACCGCTATCTCGATCCTAATCACCCCGCCACGAACGGCGGTCTTATCGGACTGCTCTCCGGTGGCGTGCTGACCCCTGATCCGGAATCACGGAGGCGCAAGGCCCTGCGACGGGTTGAAGAAGAAGAACAGCGGGTCATGGAGCAGTATTATCAGCAGATGGACAGTATTCGCAATCAGAACCAGTCCCGATGGGAAATTGACAGACAGATTCGACAGTGTGATGAGCAATTTGCGCCGCGGTTCGAGGAGTTCCGGGAGCGGAGGCGAGAAGCACAAGGAAAGCAGAGGAATATTAGGAAGGTAAGCTAGGCTTTTCCAGGTGTATGAATTTGTGCTAATGAGTCTGAATGTAGGATGTTTTATACCTGACCATTGTGAATAAGCCGACGGAGAGAGAATTGGCCGCAGCAGCGGCGAGGTTAAATACTAGTAGTGGTTATGGGAATGGGATGGTAGGCGTTACACAGGTATAGATTATCTTTATTCAATAAACATCGTGATCACATTATGATTCATGGTCTTAGCATTCTATTCGTAAGACATTATAAGTGCTGATTGATTATATACAGAGAGGTAGAGGGTCATGGCCGCAACAGTCGGAGCTTGAATCATCAGCCCCTATTCCGAGAAGAAGGCTGAGAGGCCCTTTGATATGCTCGAATGGATCGGGCTGGCTGGGCGAGAACAGATAGTAACTTCTTGAATACCACGTTCTTGCTCTCTCTCCAACCTTTCTGATCCATGTGGGCTGTTGTGCTGATAATCTCTGATGAATCATCAGACATATCCGATTCCGTTGATGATAGGGCCAACTTATCATAGATCATGCCCACCCCGTCCTCTTCGAGATGTGTATCTTCCGAAGTGGTTGCATGAACTAGCAAGGCCCGACTGGTAAGATAAGGAAGAAAGATAGATGACTCGAATGACTGCGATATGCGTGTTACCGCTTCGTCAATCAAACAGGGTGATGGTGGAAACGATGTGTCATTATATTGAAGTAGAGAGTCCCGCTCCTCCGTCGACAAATTAAGCTCTTGTGAAGACCCAGGCGTGATGTAGACAGATAATATATTTCTCCAGGCCAGAAGCAGCTGTGGTGTTAATGATGGGCGAGAGGAGCGACGTGAGCCGTCCAAGCCAAGGGCAGAGCGATATTTTTGTTTGTATCGTTTAAGCTCTTCCAGAAATTCCAGGGGCTCGGAACAATGGTTTTGTGATGCGTAGTCTCTGAAGGACTTTAGGCTGTATGGATAAGGGGCTTTGTCATTCAACACATTGTCGAATGTCGGTACTTCTCTAGGGAAGCACGCGATTGTCAGAGTCATCTTTGCAGGCATGAAGTATATGGGTGTGTATTTGGATGAAGGAGGTGGTTTGCAAGGTTGGTAGAAGTAATAAGTATATGATAGTAGGAGCTTGCGACATGTCCGGCTTTCACTATGATAGATATCATGATATTGCCTCTCAAGCCCGTCAAGAACGCACTGGCGCCCCTGTCGGTCTCTTCTAGCCCTATATTACAAAGCCTATTTTAGAGCTACGTGCCATCAGTCACCAGGCAAGAACAATGTTATTACGATTAGTCACAGGCTGAACCACATCTGAGGATACCGCATTGGGAAAGAGGTCTTATAAATTCTTATCAAAATTCTTCCATCAACCAAATACACCGAGCACGTCAGGTTCACCCAACTATTACAGACTATCGGGCCCATCCGATTGGTTCCACGTATAAAGGAACAGCGATGGAGATATTTTTGCTAGATTTGGTATGTGGAACCTTGGGTTTTGGTGCGTGTGTCCGCTGTTGAAGCGGAGGGTCTCGACGGGTCTAATGTGCTGGTACGGAGAAATGATTCGTGGTATAGCTTGCTATCTATTTCCCAACTTGAATTATATGGAGTGGCGTTTACTAGTAGTCTGCGGGGTCTCCAGGTAGAGAGACCAGACTTGCTGTGGAAGTTTGGGTCGAACCGAACGGACAGATCCTACAGTGGACGACTATGGCTGTTCAACCATGGTTTGTAAGTTCGAGAACAGCCCAGGAATGAAACTTGTGGCCCAGACCGTCTGATTGCGAAGGTAAACTGAAAACTAGTATCTCATAAATCAAGTTGACATGCCTTGAGATTTGCCGGGTCATGGTCAGCAGGATAGCAACAGGTAGCAATTTACCAGAACTCAAAACACGAACGAAGTAGGAGATGGTTTGTTTTACATTTCTAATAGTTGCTGATGTCAGATTCAGCGTTAAGGTTTGGGTTTGCTACATTGCTCACTACAAGTATCTGAAGGTAGCTTTGAGCAAATCCTGGAACATCGTCATTTGATTCAGCTGGAGTATGGAGTGTCTTCGATGGGAGGACATTGTCACGGGTTCCGTAGCTCCAGCCCAGTCGAGCCTATGTTCTAGTTCTATTAACATCGAGTTTTGTATCTGTGGCTTGTGATATTCCTTCTCCATACCTTCAGCAGCAGATACGCCGACAACAGATTCGTTTCCACACTTTCTCGTAAGTCGAATCTGAATCTAGAAGGGTAAATTTATGCTAGTGAATGACACTCGCCACCATGACTGCTAGCTCCAGCTAAGTGACGGTCCGGCTGATACACCCCTCTGACATCGGTACCTAACGCTAGGAAATAGGGTTGAATTTGTTGTCACACTTGACCAAGCCGGCGGTCGGCGTTGAACTTTTCCGCGCTGATCAATCCTACAACTTAAGATGACATCGTTACTGTAGTATAGCCAGGAACAGACTTTCCGAGTATAAGCGCCCCTTTCGGTGGTGCCCGTTTAGGCAAGTTGAGGGTGAGCGGCGGCGCAATCCGAAGATTCTCATTCAAACAAACACGTAGGTAAGGGGGATTTTTCGGTTTTCTCACATGGCGCCATAGTACCCCTTGGAATGAGAGCTTCATTGACCTCTTCCAGTAGACATCTACACCATTCCAGGTTCTCGGTAGTCAAAGCAAAATGTTTATTCAGGGCAATGGCGGTTGTAGTATAGCCACGTGCAATATAACTGTGGATCCGGTATTTCTTTCTTCGCACGCTAAACTGTTCACCTCACCATTTCTATTTTCCATGAGAGACTGAAAAGGCCGTCCCGCTTATCTCGATACAGATAATGACGAAGACATTTTCTTAACACTAGTGTGAGCAGTCTGGAGACATGAAGACAACCGCGGAAATGCACTTGGCTACAATCTTTCGCTTCCACAACGACAAGGTCATTTACAACCAGTGATGAGTAGCCCCACCTTTCAGGATCTTCTTAGAAAGAGTGGTGTTGGCTATTCCATCATTTTGTGAGGGAATATGTCGAAGCCCGATAGTGAACGTCCGGCCGAGAGGGTCCGTTGTGTTAGGGCTCTCTGACAGTGGCGGATTGCAATATCAGTCACGCGCCTTCATGATCGTCAACCATTTCCGCCACTCTGAACTCCTACCCATCCCCATCCTAGAGGCAAACGCACTGAAGAATATCTCTAATGTTCATGTATGGTCCTGCTTATCAATCACGTTACCAAGGTCGAACTGTGACCCCTGCTTCCGTTTGGTAGAAGGTATGGTCATATGTGTCTTGGGTTACCATAGGGTCACCATATGCAAGAGAGCGGGGCCAATGTGGATGATAGGATGTGTCTTACGCATCTCGCTCGGCTCCTGTGAGTAGCTACCATCACGTCATGCCTTTATACATCAGCCAGGCGTAATCTCGTTCGTCATCCTCGTATATCTCGCGAAGCCGATTAGCCTATTGAAGAACAGACTTGCGTAACCCATCGGCAGTATGGTGTGCTTGAGCTCAGTGTAATCTTTCTTTCACTGCATCCTTGGTCAAGCCGTCCTTCTGGGCGTGACTTATCGGTCGTTTTGCTGGACAACCTCATTGAGCAGCCCTTTGCAACAGGAAATGGGCTCCGCGGAGTCTCTCGTAATCTGCCGAATGGAAGCCTTGTGTTGATCTTGAATGGATGCATCTTGATTTATTATTTTCAATCTTTAGGTTGGCACACTTTTGGTACTACTCCTATCAAGAATGTATACTAATAACTAAGTAGTAAATAGAAGACTATTTCCCAAAATACAACAATCAGATATACGGAAACCAGCCGAGAGGATCAATAAACGATATGTGCGTAAGAGGTCCATACATTCATTGCACGTATAACAATTAAAGAATGATTTCCCTTTACAGCTAGTGATCGATTTGCCTGACTCACCTAGTCGGACAACTACAAAGCGGCGATCGAATGGAGCTATGAGTATATTATCCATTGCAGCGGGTATATTGGTACCTAAAACCATAGGTTATAGAGGACAGGGCTTCTCATTCATTCAGTGATACTTAAGCCACATGCTTTGCACGGCCAATTCTCTGTCCGTATCATTAAAATGGTGAGGGAAGCACCATGAGAATGCGGGCGATATAAGTGAGAATTTGGAAGGCCGGATGAGGGAGGTGAGAGCTCTCACTCGGTAAGGCACGCAGTGATCTTAGGCTATCTAGTGCGCTAACTAGCAGGCTTTGGGATCCGCGAGAGGTATTTCGCGGGAAATGTTGCTCTTTTGGTAAACGGCCTTGTATCATCTAGCCCCTAAATTAGGTGCCTTGCACACTCCTGGTAGTGATAAGGGTATGTATCCCGCTCTCAATGATTGCCCGCCGATATTGGTATATAAACCCGGTGTCCAGGACACTGCTTTTGCTCCATCATGGTCCTGGTTAATGCGACTAGTGGATTCAATCTCCATGAGAAATCATCGATCTTCAACAGGAAACTCCGTCCGCCCGGGCCCGTACCGGAGAATCCGTTCCACCCGTTGGGGCCGGCTATCGTATGAGTACCCTCATCTATTCGACTGGGGTTTATAATTGTGAATTCCAAGAGACCCCGATACAAACTTGGCAGGCCCAAATCCCTCATGTTTGGTCAAATTTGACCAATATGTACTGCTTTCCCATTTCAAGTAAGTTTACCTAACTTGAAACACGATTTTCACACGGCTTGGTATTATGGATCGACCTGACTGAAGGACGAAATTCCAAAACCGTTGCACCTGGCTGTTCGCTTTTACCTCATGCAATGTGTGTTAACGATTCACCGGAGTAACCTTGATGTATTGGAACGAAGGGGGCGTGTTTACGGAACCTTGATCATCTGCCATGAAACTATGTAATATTGTATCGAATATCTTGTAACATAATCCACAAAGATATCAGCCATGCTAGCTAAAGCCAGTGAAATTGCTCAACAGAGAATCCCACTGGATGTCATCGACAGGGAATATGTCGCCCAGGTCACCGTAGATAGACGGCCAGTCTTGGGGGGTCATAGCAACCTCATTGGCATGCGCTGCCAGCATGGACGTATCCTGCCTTGCGTCTTGGGATGGGACATTTCCAACAATCGCCCTGATTTGATATGGGTAGCAACGTGCTAGCAGCCGCATTTTAGAGCACAGGCTCCCTGCAATGTCCGTCTCTTTGTCTACAGAAGACATTCCCTCAAACTTCGACTCCAGCACGTTGGCCAGCTCCGTGACAAGGTTGGGATAGTCTGCCGCATCAACAGCGGCCTGCACCTGAGCCTCCATGGCAGAGTCGGCGGGGCCAGTGATAAGCTTGAGAAGGGTGAATATTGCAGTGGGCATGTAACCCACTGCGGCACATAAACGAGCACTTGTAGTTATTGTCATGTGGGCAATCTCCGACGCTGGTAGGTTTGTGATCATACGAATGAGCTCCTTGCTTCGCTGGATTATACCCACCAGCATGGTTGTTCGGACTGCGCTGGCAGGCTCTGCAATCCACAGTTCCTCCCGAAGAGATAACTCCTCGAGCCGTATTTCCAGATATTTGATTTCAAGGCGTATGGCATTCTCTGTAGCGGACAGTCAATCCCCATCAACCACTTTGGATCCAAGCCATACCTGTTGATGAAGGGCAGCTCGAGAGACTTTTTTCCACACGTGCCCTCACGCTATCAAATTGCCGTTGCAGTGAGCCGCGCGTAACTTGCACGAGTGCCCTTCCACCGCTTGCTTGCATCGAAGCGTAAACGTCATCTATTGTTGCCGAGAAAGACTGGAGGTGGCTAAATGGCGCAATACACCGATCTGACAAATGCTCGGTGGATGCCATACTCTCAATGCACTCATCGATTCGCCCATCATGCTTCATGATCACCGGCCGGCCGAGTGTGCCAGAGAAACTAATAGAAAGTTAGTCGAAGCCGCATCGACCAGCGTGGACAACCTCACCCAACCGACATCCAATACGTCCCGAGCAGTGCCCGCTGCTCATCCAAACTCAGACTAGATTTTCTGTGAAGTCTCAAATCATACAAAATAGAAACACAAAACTGAATCAGCAGCAAAAGTCGCGGGTGATATCTCTCCGCAGGATATGAGTACCATGCGCTGCAAACCAGCAGGCCACGGAGCAACTCGAGGTTCCTCTCAGACCGTACCACAACCCTCGATGTAACATGCTTCATAATCTCCTCGGCGACCGTCTTGCGCAGAGGGTGCGCACTACCCATAGCCGCGGCCACGACGCACAAAAAGAGAAAAGGCTCTCGGTACCTGAGGCGAGCGGCCGTCTCGTCGTGTGCAATCAATACAAAGGGAAAGTTGGGCACTAAGTCAAGCTGGAAGGTCGAAACCAAGCGTTCGGCCTCGGCTTCACTCAAAAGGCCTCGATCTACGATAGACGGCTGGCCCTGCAGAGCAGAGCTGGTCGGCGGATCGACACCGTGGGACGGGTCTTGAGCAGCATCTATCAGCGCGGCAATATCGCTCGAATCTGGCTCGGGATCACGAGATGAGACCAAGTCGTTGGTGAGCGGATTAGAAGTATCGGGCGATGGCTGCCCGTTCTGTCGGGTCAAGGCAGCCAGCTGCGACATCAGCTGGTCGACCTTCTTCTCTAGCACCTCCACACGGCTGCATCCATAGTTAATACCACAAGCACCATGTGTGTTGGGAAGGACTACCTCGGTGCAGCCTTGTGTTTCCGCTTCGTCTGCGGAAGGTCAAGGTATGTGCACGACTTGCCCAAACGAGCGCACCGCTGGCACAGGTTGACGGCCTGCGGCGTGCATTTCGCCTTGGCAGCCGTACACGCCACACATGCTCTCCTCTTAACTGCAGGTCTTGTGGCGTTCATGATATCGTATATGGAGCCGGGGAGGAAACGGAGCGGACGACGGGATTGTGGATGACGGCCGATGAGCAGTTGGACCGGGAAAACCGGATCATCCGGTCGGAACGGTTCGTAATCCGCCGAATGTATAGGTTAGTTAGGTATAAATAGGGAAGTAAATCAAGGGAATGTCACAATGGCATCGGGAATAGAGCAATATATTTATCACTGGAGTAAATTATTACCTTAAACAAAACTCCGAAATGTCTTCATATGCCATCACCGGAGCCTCCAAGGGCATCGGCCGCGAGTTCGTGCGCCAACTCGCTGCCGATCCGGCCAACACCGTCCTGGCTATTGTGCGAAATCCCGAATCGCCCGACATATCTGAGCTCGCCTCCAATCACCCTAACGTGCACGTTATCAAAGGTGACGCTACGGACCCAAAGTCCATTCTCGAGGCTGCCTCGGCCGCAGCCGCCGTCACTGGCGGTAAGCTCGACGTGCTTATCCACAACTCCAACGCCGTTGATACGGCCACCATGTCCTCCAACCCGACCCAGATGCCCTTTGATGCGCAAGCCATTCGGGCAATTTTCGACCCAGCCCTCAGTACGGGCATCTACGGCGGTCTATGGACGACGAACGCCTTCCTACCTCTGATTGAGAAGGGGATCCAGAAGAAGATTGTGCACATCTCTAGCGCCATGGCGGATTTGGATTTGATCAATAAGACTGGTATCAGCTATGCTGTCGCGTACTCTGTCGCAAAAGCCGGCATGAATGTCCAAATCGCCAAGTACGCAGCAGAACTTGCGCCTAGAGGTATTAAGGTGTTGGCTTTAAGCCCTGGATGGGTTGATACATGGGATGGTGAGTGGTCTTTGGACTTGCTGCGGCACTGGTGGAAACTGATATCATCACAGGAGAGAAACCCCCTCAGGTACTACAGGCGGAAAATGTCATGCTGAAGCAGTTTCAGGCAGTTGAGCCTGAACTCAAGGGGCAGATTCAGCCTGAGGAGAGTGTTAGAAAGAGCCTCCAGGTGATTGAGCGTCTGGATGATGAGACTAGCGGGTTGCTACTGAGCCATAATGGAGATAGGGCAACGTGGTTGTGAGTGCTGTGGGTACTGGCGAGTTGCATCGGAGACTGTATTCAACTTACATAGACTAAACACTTGATATAAATAGGACCATAGCCATAGTATTCAAAGAGTAGTAAAATAATCTTCTAAAAATTGAACGCTTTCTTGACAGGTTATTTCTCCTTCCTATCCCTTCTAAAACAACTCGGCCGGATTACCTATAGCCTATAGGCCTCTTCTCAATGCTACCATTTATCAATTAGTCTCATATATATACGAGTGTCTAGTGACGAGTTTCAACGTCGAAAGTCTCTTCAATGATGAGAAATTCCACAGGTAATCGGTAGATCGATCGTGATGCTGGATTGGCTTGTGTGGCTAGACTCCGGCACAGTCGCACATGATACCAAGTATCTGACAGCTGATAAACATGGACATTTATTGTAACAAATCTCGCTAATCGTCTCACTTGATAAGTCTCCCAGTCACCGTGCATCATACTCCGCGAAGCCTTCATCTTTGTGCTTCGGGCACTGCCCTCGCGCGATCGTTTGCCCGAGGTATACTTCCTTGGGGTCCCGACAGGTTTGCCCCGTTGCTGCAAAATAGGGCATCCCATGGTCACGAGGATGCGCCTCACCTTTGTGCAAGAAGTAGGGCATTTGGTGTAACGGGTTGTAGTAACATGTATTTTGCACAACTGGACGTCGAGTATGTCAGATTTCGTAGTAGACCTAGTTGGTGCGTTGAGGGAAACTTACTGTTTGGGCCATGAAGAGGCTTCTATTAAGTCATAATATTTCTCGCTGACCTACATTGTCAGTCCGCAGGCTGATATACTGCAGCCTTGAGGTCTCGATGAATGTCATGTGCCGGGCTCACGTGTTGCTCTGATGTGGCTGTGATATAGATACTATGCCTTATTGACAAATCCTGTAGATATCAGTGGCTTGCGGCTGCTTGGTAAAGGTGATAATTGGCCAGGAATGCCGCGCAAGGCGCTCTTTAATCTCCCGTCCCGGATTCAGAAGATAAAAGCCAAGGCGCATCATTTAGGTTTGGGCCTGCACTCAAGGTCTCCCATCTTGATAGACATTTATATAATCCTCTGTGTACTCTATACTGGGAGACTGGGAGGTCGGTTCGGTCCTCAAGAGTATCATAGTCTGATATTCTTGATCTTCCTTGCTGATTCCTGATTTTGTGCGACGGGTTAATGAGTGAGTTAGTATGACGCTTGCAATTATAAATTAGTAAATGTATTGAATGCCATCATGGCTACGAGAAACAGCTTCATATGCCGACACACTTATTAATCAATGTTGTAAAAGTCGCTACACAGCTGTAGTAACTAGCTCACAACTGCAGTACCTCGTTGACCCGCACCACCTGCCCCGTGCGCATTGACTCGTTGGCCGCAATGCCCGTCGCAATCGACCATGCCCCATCCAAATGTGATGCAGCCCTGTTCAGCGGATCGGAGGACCGGGTACCAAAGAGATCTTGTAGCAACTGGGGATCGCCGCCACCATGACCCCCTTGGCCCGTTGGAACCTCGATTTCCAAGGGCTTGCCCAGCATTGGCCGCAGGAGAATGGTGCGACTCTCCAGCGCACCCTCCATGGCCTGCTCTCCTCCCGAGTTCACATACGACTGCTCCACCACCTCAACCTCCAGCCTACCCTTGCTCCCATTGAAGTTCACCCGGAACCCCTCCCAGGGCGCGTACGCAGTGAGACTGTATGTCAACACGGCCCCGGACTGATACCTCACCATCACCCCCATGGTATCCTCAATATTGATACCATCGCCAAACACACTCTGGTCGCGATAGTACCCATCCTCCCATTCGGCATCCGCGTAGAGCGCCTTCAGCTGCTCATTGCTCTCCAAGTCCAGTGCAAAGGGGTCCTCCTTAGCCACCTCACTGCCCCGGGCCCGAGAGTAAAACCGCGTTTCCCCCCGCTGCTCCGCATTCTCCTTCCCATAGAATCGTAGATCGCCCATAGCAACCACCGTCTCCGGCTTGGTCCGCAACCAGAAGTTTACCAGGTCAAAGTGATGCGTAGATTTATGCACCAGCAACCCGCCACTGTTGCGCTTATCGCGATGCCAACGGCGGAAATAGTCCGCCCCGTGCGAGGTATTCAACATCCACTCGAAATGCACGGAGTGGACCTCTCCGATCGCCCCCGCATTCAACAGCTCCGCGATCTTGGTGTTATGCGGCGCATACCGGTAGTTGAAGGTGACTCGCACCTGCCCCTGGGTGCGGTCGACGGCGTCGATGATCTGTCGGCACCGCGGCGCATCGATCGTCATCGGCTTCTCGGTGACAACGTTGCATCCGCGTTCTAATGCGCGGACGATGTACTGGTGGTGCGTGCGGTCGATGGTGGTCACGATGATTTCGTCCGGACGAGTCTCGTCGATCATGCGGTCGAAGTCCGCAGCCAGATATGTAGGAACGGCACTGTGGCCTAGGGTCTCGATGCGACTGTTTGCGTAAGCCAGGCGGGTGTTGTTGGTGTCGCAGAAAGCGACCAGTTGGGCGGTGCTGCCGAAGTCGCGCACGATGGCTGTATAAAAGAACATGGCGCGGCCGCCGGTTCCGATTAAGGCGTATCGTTTCATCTTGGGCCCCGTTCCGTTCAGATTGGTCATGATAGCGGTTTCAACCTGGACGAACAAAAGGTGTCAACCGGTTGGACCTTGGAGTCAAGGAGGAGATAGCTGCCTTTTTTTAAGTCCTCGGGTTGCAATGCCCCGAGGTGATAGATCTGCACTCCCCGCACAGGCTTCGTTCAGGCTAAATAGACAATTTTTCCATGAATCGGGACTCAGCATATGATGCGGGGAAATCTGGGGTCTGGAGTCTGGGGAAGAGTTCCACTGGGCTTTGGATCCCAAAGGAGGCCAGGTATGGTTGTCATTGTGTTCATATCCATCAATAGCTACCGCGCTCGTATCGGGATATTATAATCCGAACCCAGAATAAATACATTCTCTCCCAGGATAATGTCGTTCCCCACCGCTACATTTACTACTAGTCATCATGGCAGGTCCAGCAGAAACACCACACGACGATATCACCGCGGTGGAAGACCCCCAAGCACCCCGGAACCAGGGCAAGGAAAAGGCGGCGCGGTTCCTTGCTGAGGTCGACGAGGGCGAACGGGCCTTCACACCAGAAGAAGAGAAGGCTGTTCTAAAACGAATCGATCGCCGTCTGCTACCTCTACTCCTAGGCGCGTACTTCTTCCAGCAACTCGACAAATCCACGCTCTCCTATGTCTCCATTTTCGGGCTAGTCGAGGACGCAAACCTCCACGGACAGCAATATTCATGGCTGGGGTCGATTCTTTATCTGGCCCAGCTAGTCATGCAGCCTATCGCAGCGCTGCTGCTTGTCAAGCTTCCGACAGGAAAATTGATCGGATCGGCGATTTTGTTATGGGGGAGTTCTTTGGCCATCATGGCGGCGTGTACGGACTTTCCTAGCCTGCTTGGACTGAGGTTTACCTTGGGGGCGTTCGAAGCAATGATAGGTATGTTGCTACCCAGCATATCGTAGTAGCTTGTTGTCTGGGATAAGATCTTAACAAGACACAACAGCACCTTCATGTGTGGCCGTAACGCAGATGTGGTGGAGACGAGGCGAACAGACTCTGCGGACGGCCTATTGGAATGGGATGAACGGCGTGACATTCGTCGTACGTTTGTTTGTCGATCTACAAATGTAGAGAAACACTACTGACAAAGCATTTGACAGGTCGGAAGTCTTTTCACATACGGATTGGGTCATATCCACAGCAACACGCTCTATTCCTATCAGGTAAAGCCCGATACTATCCACCCAGTTTGAACTATATCAGCTAAGCTGTGCCAGATTATCTTCATGTTCTGCGGGCTACTCACCGTTGCATTCTCACTCCTTGTCCTCATTTTCATGCCCGACTCACCCATGGAAGCCAAGTGCCTCAATCACCGTGAGAAAATCATCGCTGTAGAACGGCTCCGCGCAAACCAGATGGGTGTTGTTTCCCGCGAGTGGCGTTGGGACCACGTCTGGGAGACGCTGTATGATATGAAAACCTGGTGTTGGTTTTTCCTGATCGTCGCCATCTCGTATGTGACAGTGTTTTATTGGAACCGTGCCTGGCCATTAACCAAGGAATACCAAAGCTAACGCCATCCAGAATCCCAAGCGGTGGTATCAGCACATTCGGGAACCTGATCATCAAATCCTTCGGATACGGCTCGTTCGAGACCATTCTCTTCAACATCCCCTTTGGGGTCATCCAGGTCATCGCCATCGTAGGCGGAGGCTGGCTGGCAACCCGGTTTCAGCGCAAGGGACTCGTCATTGTTGGGTTTGCAATTGTGTCTGCTATCGGGACATTATTGATGATTGTTGTACCCCGGGAGCAGAAGGGGGTTCTTCTTTTCGGGTATTACTTGGTACGCGGGCTTCTTTCTTCATCTCAACCGATAGTTATCTCATCGACATGACTAATATCAAATAAGGTCTCCTTCCTAGCAGGTATTACACCCCTCGTATACGCATGGGAGGCACAGAATACCGCTGGAGACACCAAACGAAAGTGTACCTCGGCGGTTGTGCTGATCGGAATGTGCGCCGGCAATGTATACTCCCCTTGCCTAGTCTCTTTCTCGTCGGGAATCTTCATGCTGATCATAGACAGGTGATCGGTCCCCAGCTTTACTCAACATCTCAGGCTCCTCTGTACCGTCCGGGATTAATCTCGAACCTTATCTTGTTCGTGATTGTAGGCGTGTTTGCGATGTAAGTCCTTAGGTTTCGTGGTTGCATGCAGGACGCAGAAGCTTACTCTCCCAGCCTGACCAATCTGTACCTCATCTACTTGAATCGGAAGCATGCACAACGGAGATTGGATCTCGGTAAATCGGCCCAGGTAGTGGATGAGTCTATGTTCAGCAAGCAGAAGGTGGGTAAGGCCGTCGAACTTGAGGATGCAAATGCCGCTGCTCAGCAGAATCAATCTGAAGATAAGGGGTTTTCGGACACGACGGATCTCAAGAACGAGGATTTCATATTTGTGTACTAGTTAGCTGGATTAGTGGCTTGTGGATTGGGCTGGCTGTTACTGCTAATAATCAATGTTTTTTGGTACTTTTCTCTGCCAGCAACAAAAGGCGGTAACCTATAGTCCGATGAAAACCAAGGAGTTGATACAAAGCTACGACAATACTGCAAAGCTCATCAGAAAATACCACACTGTGTTTCGAGCTCTTCCACAGTCACTGCAATAGAGAGCCAAGGAATGATCATGGAAATTGAATTCGCCAGCAAGAGAAAATCGAATAAATAGACCAAGTTGGCCGGAATGAAGGCACTCCAAAACAAATGTGACCAAATGTACCATACTGAGAGATATAAACTTTTCGTTCAGCATCTGAGGTCAATCAGGTTGACCAAGTGATGAATTCGTTGGGTACAGAAAAGAGATCCATTCTCAACGAAGGGATCAAACACCTGTAAGCAAGACGAGTAAGGTGTTTTAGAAAGGCCAATCCTCCTTGAGCTCTTCTCCATTCACAATAGGCGCTTGTGCTGGGACCATCATGCCGTAGAGCCGTGCCCACTGGTCGGTTGTGTTGCTCCAGCCATGCATCGTTGCTTGCAGGACGACCACGTCACCCTCACTCAACGCCACTTTCGAGCCATCCTCCAGGCCCAGAACGACACTTCCCTTGCCCACTATCACGTAGTCGAGCGTGATAGACCGATGGAACACTCCCTCTGTTTTGGGGGGGATATCATAAGCGTTTATTCCAGAGCCCTTGGGTGGCCAGCTTGGCGCCGATAGCGCTGCATCTTCTAATTCACCGACGTTTGCGGGATGCTCGCTCGTCGACCATAGTATCGTCATGTTGTTGCCATTCCCCGCGGGCTGGGGCGTAAGGTGCGAGTCGACAGCCACTGTTGCTTGGCCGTTGGTGTTGTGGCCGGTCACAACTCGGCGGGGAGGTGGTAGGGACGGTGCCGCAGACTCAGGCATGTTTATATAGTAATGTGGAAATAGTGATGAATGATGGCACTTGGCTCTATGGCAGCAAGGGTTGTGGAACTTGTGGTTGACTTCTTAACTGAGAAGAGGCGGCTCTTAACTCCGATGTAAAGTCCGACCACTGCAAATTGCTGACCACTTGAAATGCTATAGACCCACCATGGCGGTTGGGGACATTCGAATAATCTATTCAAGTACACGAAAAGCCCATTGTTATTACTATCAACAGTGCAATGACATCCACCAAGATCAATATCGTCTTTGGGGCTATGACCGTCGGCCAAGCAGGTACGTTGTCGCCACCGTGGATCAACGAATGACTGGATATTGACGGTTTCTCGGGGCTGGATGGCTGCCGACAAACCACGCCAGAGGAAGTTCGAGATGTGCTAGACGTCTTCCAGCGACATGGTCACAGCGACATCGACACGTCCCGCGCCTACGGCAACGGCACCTCAGAGTCTCTCTTGGGAGAAAAGTGGTTGGCAAGAGAGGAATTTGCGGATCCACACGAAAATATACCCAACAGCGAACTGGGGGGCTGGACCCGATACTTACACTCTCGGCGCAGACGATCTGCGACGAGCACTCAACCGAAGCCTCGAAGCGCTGAACACAGACAGCGTGGATCTCTGGTATCTTCACGCACCGGACCGCAACACACCACTCGAAGTCACAATGCAAGAAGTTGACAGGTTACATCGGGAAGGCAAATTCAAACGTCTTGGAATCAGTAATTTCATGTCCTGGGAAGTCGCCCGGATGTGTGAAATTTGCGACCGTCATGGTTGGATACGTCCGTCTGTCTACCAGGGCATCTACAACCCGCTTCACCGAGCGATTGAGGCCGAGTTACTTCCCTGTCTTCGGCATTACAATATTGCTCTATATGCCTTTCAACCTCGGGCAGGTGGCCTATTGACCGGGCGCTACCAGCTTGAGACCACGTCCTTCGACTCTGGGACACGGTACGATCCCAACAACAAGCAGAGCTCTACGATGAGTGCCCGCTACTGGAACAAGACTACCTTCGCGGCACTGGAGATTATCCGAGTAGCTGCTCAAAAGCATGGTCTCACCATTGCTGAGTGCGCTTACCGTTGGCTGGTACACCACTCTGTCTTGGATAAACCGCACGGCGATTCCTTGATTATCGGAGCGAGCAGTGTCAAGCAGTTAGAAGGTAACTTGGCTGATTCGGAGAAAGGGCCTCTTCCTGAGGATGTCGCCCAAGCGATGGAGCAGGCTTGGCAGCTCATACAAGAGCCAGTCCGGAAATACTGGCATTAGAATGGCTGATCTTCCTCTGGCCGTCCAAGCATAATACGCGGAAGCTCTTCTAGAATGAGCACATATATGCTATAATTTTATCTTATACCTTTACCTTATTAATAGAGATACTGGTTACTATGAGTGAAACATCCCCAGCGGCGGTATTCTTCCATTGTAAGACTAAGGAGAGGAGAACCCACCGGGGTTAAACAGACAAGTTAGCAGATCATAACTCATTCTCTCATATTGTGCCCTCCAACGAGCCAATTGACATCCGATGCGTACTAGGCTACAGCCAGAATTAATTTCTTGCGACTCGGTCCCAAACCCTACTATTGCATGATACAGGAGATAAAGCGGATGCACCGCCCGCTGACACCAGGAACTATGGCTATAGGACGTCTTGGCCAGGTCAACCAGGATCAACTGCAGCTCTGATAACCTCATGCTAGATAATTCTAAAGCATGTAAAGGGTGTACGGCAACACATTCTCTTGTAAGCATTTCAATCTACCGCCAGATGCGGAAGCTAGATGAAGCTGGCGTCTGCACGTCGGTCTGCATGCCTTAAACGGTGCTGAGCCATATTAAATTTAATTTAGCACTGCCCTGACAATGGAATACCGTTGCATACATCACAATGAACCTACGACAATCCTGCAGATCATCGGAGTGTTTCTGTTTGCCAGGTATTCGGACTGCGTAAACGCTGCCTCTTTTAGTATAGAATACGGACAGCCGTCAGGATGGGAAAAGAATACGGATACGATGGACCTCCGTTTGCCACATACAGCAACGATCGACCACTGGGGGAGCCGAAATTCATCTGCCATCTGCTACACAATATACACGTACACTTAGACCCTAGACGTATATTTAGACCTTAGAGAAGATGTTTCCACGGTGGATCGGACCCCTGCCGAGCGGAAGAAGTGGCCGATCGTTTCCACATCCCAGATTATAAAAGATGGCCAACTGATCCTGCTGTTTCGTCTTCAGCATCCTTCACATCGTCCAAAATGCATGTTGTTGCCAGTACCACGGCTTTTCTGGGCCTCATTTCTAGTGTTGCCGGGGGACACCATCGCAACAGAGACACCAGCCAGCCAATCTTAAAGCCGCCCGTACCAGAACCTATTGTTGTCACCGAGCTTCCTTTGCCTCCTGTCGCCGACAGTAAAGAGGGCTCTTGTACTCCGGAAGTCAGCCCTCACCGGACCGGATGTCTGCTCAAATCCTCCCAGATCCAAAGTGGAAATTTTCTTCCTGACAACAACCATGTCCTTGTCAGCTTAAACTTCTCAGGGGCTCCAGCAGCGCCCGATCCGGCTACCATTTACAATGGGACCCATTTGACCCTGATAAAGGCTGATAGGACCAAGTTTCCCAGCGGTGACCCATGGAAGTGCATTACCTGCGGCGTGCCGGAAGAAAACAAGGTCGCAGCACAGCGCTCTCTCCCTATCCTCAGGCGTTTCTGGACGGCAAGAGGGCGCTAATCGGGACGAACATCGTCGATTGTGGCTCGGCGCTGCTCGCAAGTGCTGAGTGTACACCGGATAAAGTGCATATCTACCCAATCCGTTGGAATGTCAAGGCAGATGGCTCGGGGCCTGGGGGAGATATACGAGAATTGCGTCTACATCCGGATAATGTGCACTTAGGATTCAACTCCTTCACCTTCTCCAATGGCCAATTAGGACAGTTTGGCTACTTTAGTCGACTGCAGTTTAACCCATCGCCGAAGACAGGCGAACCTCGCTCGGCGCGATACGATCTGGTTAACGTTACCAGACTCTATAGCCCGGACAACCCCCTGCCGATCAGCGCAAAAGGTAACCAGCTAGTGGTTAACCGGTCAGCGATTGCGGTCGGCGAGCTTCGCGGATTCACCGGACGTGGTAAAGAAGTTACGTATATCGGCAACCCCATCGAGTCGTGCAACATCGACGTATTCGCTGCCGATCTCACAACCGGAAAGGTCCGTCGGATCACAGATCACCCCGAGTATGTCGATCCGATGGATGTCTCTCCCGACGACAAGTGGCAAGTCATCCTCGATACTCGAGGGACGGGCCGGCAGATGTTCATGGCCGGCATGCGCGGCATTCCACCGATTATCGACCTGATCGCTACTACGGTCGCCTCCTCCACTCGCAACAATGGCCCTCGGCGATTTTTCCGGCCGTGGCTTCTGGACCACGATGGGGACCGTGGAGACTACTACGGCCAGCAAATCAACGGCGACGGCGATGGCAGCCCGGGCAGCATCAACGACCCCAATTGGAACGCCGGGGCAGACCCCAAGTGGTCTCACGACGGCACACGCATAGCCTACTTCGAGAACCTGGTTGTTGCACCTTCTTGTGGCGGACAGAATCCTCTGCCATGCCCTAACTCGACTGAACCAGGCGGTCGGGTCACCCGTCTGATGCTTGCTCACCTTACCAGCCGTGAGCCGCTCGATCTTGAGCCGGTTGCTCCCGTCTCCGATGAAGTTCCCTGGGGTGTTCCATATGAGCCCGAGAGTGCGCTGCCAGACCGTCCGTTTCTAGCTGAGGGAAATTACACCTTGAAGGGAGAGGTCTCCGGCTCGGCTTCTGTGTCAATTATTCATGACAAGGCCATCCCGGCAGCGATCAAAACCATCGCAGTCGCCTATCGCAACTATTCCGATGATGGGTTACATTATATCGACGGCTCTGAAAGGTTCACCAGTACTGTCACATCCATGACGGTAAACAAGGTAGACTGGTTTTCCGACCTTACGTCTACCGGACAAGCCACCGGGAGCAAGAAGACTAGTCCTGGTGGGTTCCATCTGGAAATCGATACCATGACTAACATATTCAATGCAAACGGAACCTTGACTACCGCCATTGATGGAAAGGTCTGGAAGCAGCCGGCGAATGGGACTTGATCGCTGGTCACGCTGAATTAAGGCACCGTGACTGCGTGTTAGGGCTATGGGGAACCGCCTTGTCTCGGGTTGGGTGAGCCCTTGTATATAACTAGTTGAGGCAGCCTTGCCTGTACATATTCTGTATGAAGGAGATGCAAAATTCATGGTTGTCAAATACCACCTTTTCTACCATGATGCACTAGTGATCTTCCATCATCCGTAGTACTTTGTAGAAAAACTGGGACACGTGGCTATGCAATTACTCAAGTTCCCCACAAAGCTGCTCTCTTCCCTCAACCCTACAATAGCTTGCATCCATGGTTCGCTCTCTGGAAGGACCTCTGAGGCCTTGGTACCTCAGGGAGCGGAACAATCGTTCCAAATTATCCCAAGGCATGCACGAAGCAGATCATTATCGAGTACGCTTCCATACAATAACCCTTACTACTCCTCACAAGGTATCTCATTCCACAAGCATCGAAACCGCAGTCCAGTCGAAGACTCCAACCAAGTATGCTGTCTCGTGTTAGTTCCTCCACAAACATGCCTGCTGCTAGACCTGTGCCCTCGTCAATATTCCCACAATAGGTAAGACGACGTCCTATATGGCGCGCTCGCACTCTAGTCACTCGAATAACCCACGTCCCACTCAAGGTGGAGAGAATGGTTCTATTCCAAATAGGCAATACGATAACTCTCGAATCCGTCTAGTGCGAAAACAAATCCTTGGATGTGCACTATCAACCCTTTCAATAGATCCTTCTTCCAGGCTCCATGGTTCAAGTCATTAAGCTCCACCTTTTTCTCTCGATTCCCACGTGCGGATCTACTCGGAAGAAAATGTCATGGGGAAGATTCCCCATTGAGTGACCTTAGGGTGTTCTGTTTGGTGAGGTTTCCTTTGTAAATAACTTGGTGGGTGCGTGGGCTACATTTTCTGGGTCGGTTGCTTAGATTATTTACAAAAGGTCTATGTTAAAGTGTGGGCCTCCATGCACAGAATTGGCATATTCAAGAGATGAGAGTAAAAACGCAGTCAAGGCTTGCCTCAACCACGCAGGCCATGGAGGGACTTAGGGTTGACTCGGAGTACTCCGTATGTGAAGAAACACTCTCTTTTCTCGACGGTGTTTTTTTTATTGCGTGTGGACTCCTCGTGGCACCCGAAATGATAGTGGAGGGGGCAAAAAAAAAATTTTTTTTCGATAAAATGCGATGAGGCGTCGAAAGAAAGCGCGAGATCCACACCAACAGATCCATATTGCCACGAGGGCGTTGGCGCTAGAGACAGCAAAGGAATAACAAGCGCGCCTGTAAAAATTATTTGCTAATGATGGCACTGCACCGGAAAAAGCCAACCAGTGCCTGACGAACGGCTTTTCTTCTCCGAGGGTGGGACCCGATGGCCAAGCACTATAATGCATTAGATCAAGGCCCAGTTTATCGCTACCACGTGGCTGAGACAATCGATTAGCCGATGTCAAACGCTGCTGGGGCACTCGATTGGTAGAACCAGAATGGAGAATCGGTGGAAAAGAACGGCAGGATTCGAACTCGAACTAGGGTTAAGGAGGCCAAACGCGGTTTTCTTCTTCCGGCCGGTCCAGCCCCGAAAGCATAAAGTAGAATTAGTTTAAATAGTCGCGGGACCGACTTTCTTCATCCCCTTATTCCTCCTCTTTCGGTTCGCCAAATACTCCTGTCTTGAAGGGATTTCACCATGGGTGTCATTTGGGATCTTCTTGAGCGGGCAGCCTGCCTCGCTATCACTGCTGTCGCTCTTTTGGAAGGCCGTGCTGGCGCCACCTTCAACGGCACGCCCTCGGTCTTGACCGAGCAAGGTCTGGTCAGGGGATTTGTGGAGAGCGACACCAATGTTTTTCTGGGAATCCCCTTTGCGCAATCGACTGCGGGTCAGAATCGGTGGAAGGCTCCTCAGAGCTTAACCAAGTCCGCTACGGCTGAGTTCGATGCGACCTCCTATGGCCCTTCGTGTGCGCAGGCTATGTCCGGCAACAAAATCGTTGCCCAGGGCGAGGACTGCTTGAACCTAAATGTATTATATCCGGTATTGATCTTGCTTTTGTCCAATGAATACTGACCAAATTACTTTGCAGATCTGGACCCCTCAGAACGGCTCTAACCTACCCGTTAGTTCCTCCACTCTCTATTCGGGGCTTCGATAGAAGATCTTCTAACCAATGAGCAGGTCTTTGTCTACATCTATGGTGGTGCGATGGTCACTGGTGGCAATAGCAATGCTCAGTGGCAGGGACACAACTTCGCTCGCAAGGATGTGATCTACGTAAACGTCAACTACCGTGAGAGCATTTATGCTTCTCCCAACGCTCCCGAGCTCGACGGCCAGTCGCAGAACTTCGGCATCCTCGATATCGAGATGGCGTTGCAATGGGTTTACGACAATATCAGAGGTATGTCGTCAGCATTCTTGTCTGTCCCCTTGGCCATGCGGTAACATTTTTTGCCTTCACAGGATTTGGTGGTGATAAGACCCGCATTGTTTTGGGTGGTCACTCCTCCGGCAGTGTTCATGTAAGTACTAATCTCACAAAATCCTTCGGTCCAAATGGACAGTCGGCACGGAATATTGTCCCGGGTGGCTAAGCCGATCGTGGTGCAGGTTGATCATTACCTGTGGAATCATCCCAAGACATTCCTGGCGGGCGCCATCGAAATGTCCGCCAATGCCGAGTCGGGACCCGCCATCGCCCCTTCCGGCGTCGCCTTGACCCAAGTGGCTCAGGACATTGAAGCCGCCGGTGTTACACTCAGCTGTGACTCCAGCAACCCGACTCTGGATTGTCTTCGTGAGGTAGATGTGTACGGAATCCAGACGTCCTACTTCAACTCGACCTCCAACACCTGGTTCTCCCCGATTGTGGATAACATCACCCGCTTCGCTGACTACAAGTCGCGCTTCACCGCTGGCAACTACCCCAAGTCGGTCCCCTTGATTGTCGGCAACTCCGACCAGGAGGGCAAGCTCTTCGGTATGGTTTACTCCAGCGAGAACACCGATTTCTCCAAATGGATCAACACCTTCGATGCCGACATGGCCCATGTGCCGGATGACGAGCTCCTGGCAGCCTACAACGCCTCGGACTATGAAACGGTCTCCCTCATGAGCGGCGCCTCCTACGGAGACGCTCGATTCTTCTGTCCCACCGACTACCTGATCGACGTCCGTGCCAACGAGCAGCCTACCTGGGTGTACCGTTGGTTCGGTGATTACGACAACGTCATAGGCATCTCAGGCATCGGCGCATCGCACGGAAGCGAAGTGCCTTTCTTCCACGGAGGCAACGAGTGTTTCTCGAAACTGACCGACGTTACAGAGGCGGAGCAGGCGTTGGCTGATTACATGAACGACTGGTTTGTTGCCTGGATCAAGAACCCCAGCGCGGGACCTGGCTGGGACCAAGCCAAGCCCACCAACGGGCCCTTGGCGAAGCTCGGTGTTCCTGGCAACGAGCTGGCCATTGAAATCGGAAGCACCGGCGACTACAACGGCCGCTGCCAATCCGTGTTCAACCCCAACATCCCCAAGTACCCGGTGGTCCAGAACCCGGTCACCCTGGCCGCATCCTCCTAAATTTCTTTATCATCGGCACTTAGACATTAGCATGCAGCATTAATTAGACATATACCCATTTAGACAGGTTTAATTAACTGTCAATTATAAATTAAAACCATGAATACGACCGGCAGTTGCGCGTTTTTTACTCCATATTAAATTTGGGCTAGTGGACCCCAATGCGAAGGATTGCATGATCCTCAGGCAGACCAGAGGACCAGGCCTTTCCGCTATTCCCGCTAAGAAAAATCCTGCATGAAGAATCTCGTGTAGAAGGATCGATTCAGGTACAGCGCCACGTGTTTCACTCTGGCTCACGATCAATTGGACAGTAGACAGTGGGGCGATGGATCCATAATCACGGACTGAAAACATTTTCGGTCGCCGGTAGGGTAGCATCCCTAGTTAACCCTAGTGCCCCTAGTTAACCCTAATTTTCCTCAGCCGCCATCATCATAGCCACCAAAACCACCTCGTTCCCGTGTTGATAATGACATGTAAATATAGCTCGGGCAAATCCTTTACAAACTTTACATAGAGATGTTAGCCAAAACCAGAAATTGGACTCCGTTCTCGACGGCAGACTCGGGAAGGATCCGGGATACGGGCAGGTGAAATAAACCAGCAGAATGAACGGGGCAGTTGTACTCCGTACCAGAAGTTCGTTCTGCCGAAGTTTTTCCCATTTATTAACCTGACTGCCTAGTGTCGGTCTTGGAGCCTCGGCATATGGAATTTCTAGAATAGCGCGCATCCATCGAGATCGATTGTTGTCCCTGCATTGGTGTATTCCCGCTGGATCTAACTGATTTTGTGCTTTCTCCTATCTCTAAACTCTCCCCTTTCTGTAAAGGAATTTCGGCCGCCTCTCCCTATATCCTAAAGGTCCCCATGTCGCACTATTGTGTATGGATAGCCCAGTTGGAGGCTTATGTTAAGATGCTCCGCTATCAGCTAATATTTGACTTTCATGATGCAAATCTGCGCAGGGGCAGAAGTGTATTTCTAAGACTCAAACATAGAAAACAGTGTCGTTGGCGGGTTCGTATAAGCGCCGAGAAAAAGGGAAATTAGATGTGTGTTCCGAAACCACAGGACATCTTGCAGGCTATGTAACCTCGTGTCTCATGTTGGAGACTTGGAGTAGCGTAGTAATCAACTCGGTCCATGATTTCATGATCCAAGCCTGTGCTCCCGGCACTGTCCGTATCCGGCAACCTGGACATCGTTTGAGTGGAAACATCTCCACTCCGTCCAGCCATCCCGAGCTGTCGGAACCGTGGAAGTTTATACAGACTATTAGGCCCTTCCAAGAATGCTACTCGCTCGTGAAAAACACATACTCATAGTTGCCCAATAGCATCGGCGTATCCCGATCAGGCCCTAGCACTGTCTAGGAATAAGCTTCGCCATCGTCAGATTTCTCTAATCGAGCCATGCTATCTGGACCAGTGGGAGAGAGGCATCGATTCCCTGTCCGCTGGCAAGATTCCACAAAGTGTAATTGAGGCGCAAAAACAGGTCCATATTATCAAGGTTGGCAATGTATTAAAAATCTCTGTCTTTCGCACACTAACGTTACAATTGAAGGCCCCTTCGCTCTCTTTCGTCGCCCCTACGGCTTTCACTCGTTCCAACTGTTTAAATGGCAGCCAGTCCTTCGTTCGCTCTTTCATAACGGTGGGAACGCCTGCAGATCGTCCCTATGGCTCCCCCGGGAGTCGGACAGGTGGTATGTGTCTTTTTTTTTTATGTTTTCTCTCTCCGCGTGGAGCGCATTTGATCGGCACGGGAACCGGTGAACTGACGATCACTTCTGGCGCGCACGTTATAGGTCGGATGGTACATCTGTACGATTGTCGCATGTGTCGTCTTTGTTACGCGGTTGGTAGTGCGATGGCGGAGGTTCAGCAAGTTTTACATCGACGACTACCTCGTCGCGGCGGCGTGTGTGTGTTTGATCGGTGATCTGATCATCCAGCATCTCATGTTCAATTGGGGTAAGTTGTGTGTGGGTTGGGCTCGGATATGCATGGAGAGAGAGGTTTCTGACGGTTCTTTGCTGTTTAGGCATGACGGACAGGGCCAATGCATCGAAATCGGATATGATCAATATGATGAAGGTTGGTGGCACCTTAGACAACCGGATTTGTGGCATCGCACGCTGACCGTCTGTGATAGATGATCATTCCAGGCTCTACCCTTTATGTGACTTCTCTGTGGCTGATCAAAGTCGGCATGGTTCGTACTCTTGACCGCGATGGAGATCAGGGCTGTGGACTAACCAGTTGCGCATGCAGGTTTGCTTCTACAAACGTCTGGCGGATCGAACCCACTACCAACGAATCTACAACGTCGTCCTCGTCTTGCTGGCCGCTACGTGGCTCACTATCTTTCTTAATATCATCTTCAAGTGCTTCCCTGTCGACCGCATTTGGGATATGGATAACCCAGACCGTGAGCTTTGCCCGACACGAGCGTCAGTAAACCCGCACAAGCTAACAAATGCACAGGGGCATGTTCGAAGAAGCAGTCCCGGATCAATTACTGGATCACCATCTTGTGTACGTAGTCGCAGCCTACACATCCTTTCATATCAGAAACCCCCACTAACCTCAAACCCCCCAAAACTACAGTCAACATCTTCAGTGATGTAATCAGTGAGTTACCCCCCCCCCCCATCACCAACCCGACAAAACCTCACTAACAGTCCACCACAGTCATCTGTCTTCCGATCTCGCAAGTCCTCCGCCTCCGCATGCCATTCAAACAAAAGCTGGGCGTAATGTCCATCTTCCTGCTCGGTATCATGGTCGTGATCACAAGCAGTACGTGCCCCCTCCCCTCCAAGTTCTCACTCCCCTTCCACTCAACCCAACCCAAACTAACCACCCAAAAAAAAAAAACACAGTAATCCGCGCCATCTTCTCCTGGCAAAACAAACAAATGATCACCTGCACGGTGTCCATGATCGAAACCGCGATCGCAATCATCGCCAACTCGCTGCCCGTGCTGCGCACTCTTTTTTTGGTTCGAAGTCTCGCAGCGGGACGTACTACAGCAGCCGAGCGTACGAACTGTCGCACTCCCACGGGCCAGTGAAGTCGGGTCCCCTGAATAAGGTGACGGCGTCGGTAGCGTCGAACGCTGTCACGGACGGCCATGGTTCGCCCTCGGGGCTGTCGAGACACGACTCTGAGGATGAGTTGGTGAAAGATGCTGCTTCGCCTCCCGTGGATGAACATCCGGGCATCTCCGTCACGACCGAGTATCATGTCTTTCACGGCAGGTATTCGAGTCCGAGTGTTAATGCTAGACAGCATTGATTTTATTTTTTGTTTGTTTGTTTGGTGTAATTTATAGAGTGGGGGGGTTGGATCGATTGGGTGATCCGTGGTACTTATTACTAGGTAATTCATATGAGTATATGTATATGTATATGTGTGTATAAGCGGATGTCTGGTATGTCAGTATATGTCTCCAGCAAACTTGCTTTTATCAGGGTTCATTGCACAGCCCATCTCTTGAACATGTTGGATGGCAGGACTCCGAGAGGAAGATGCGGGGCAAGGACAGTGGCGTAAAGTCACCGTGTAGCTCAACCTTGTGTAAGGTAGAATAATATACAGTATGTAGGATGATACATTCGAGGTATCAATAATGCTTGTTTTTTTTGTTTTTTTTTTGTTTTTTTTTTTCCTTATCTACTGGGTTATCCACAATATCAGACGAGGATATACATCAAAAGACGCTGACCGCCTGCTGCATTCTGCTTTCCTAGGTATGTGCCGGCAGTTCTTGGCTCTAGTCCCAAAGAGGTAAGCCGAATGGATGCTCATGATGGACGATTGCTTAAGGGCGGTCAGCCAACCAGTACCAGTATTATGGACCTGGGCCTTGAATTCTAGATCGAGAAACAAGAATGGGGGAAATAAAAGAAAAATTAGAAAGATGAGGTCTAAGGTTTTACTGTGAAGCAATAGCAGATATTCAAGAAAAAGAAGTTGTAGTGGTGGTAGTAGTAGTACTAGTAGTTCATAAATTGTACGGTTTAGTTATGTGTTATATATTTCCCCGACCGTCAAGTTAGGAGACATCAAGTCATGAATCAACAAACAATCACAGTATTTTATACTATTGACGTAGCCGCGGGAAATTACGGCATAGGAAGAAAGAATAGGAAAGATAAATTGGTAAAAAAAAAAGGAAAAGAAGAAGAATACAAGAGAAATGCGAGAAAAAAGGTGTGAGGGCAAAAACAGATGTTGCAGAAAAAAAGAAAGCGCGAGCGACGCAGGGATCGAACCTGCAATCTCTAGAGCCGAAATCTAGCGCCTTACCATTAGGCCAGCCGCCCAGCTGCTGTGAAAGACTAGTCGGAGATATGAGTTCTACATCACTCTAAATATGCCATACGTACTCTGTAGAGCCAACTGCCTAGACTAATACCAATGCAATATTGTTCTATTAGTCTCGATACAACCTTCCTTTATATGAATTGAACTAGTTATTAACCAACAATGGATAGCATCACCGCGCTATATTAGTCCATGCACCGTAGGTATAGTCCACTGATCATAGATCCGTACTGTTAACCGGCCATCCATTGATGACGGTATACGCATCTGTTGGCGTCGTGCCATGCAAAACATCATAATGGGTACGATCTCCGCAGGTTTCTCTATCACGAGCAGTCGAACATCGATCCTGCAACATCGCAGCGATTTGTTCGCCCGCCTCGCGGCCCTCAAACCACGCACCGTGCAAAAATCCGAAATAAGATGCGCTGGTCGCCTCGCCGGCGAACCACAGCCGGTCTACATTGGCACGTAGATTCTGATGCATCTCTAGTGTGGTTCCCACTGGCCAGTTGGAGTAGCTACCGTACGCCCAGGGCTCGTTATTCCATCGGGGATATACGAATGCGGTGGGCTCGGGTATTCGCTTCTCTGGAAACATCTCGCGGAGCACAGCGAGGACCTCCTCTCTGGTTTGCTCGTTGGTCTGTCTCTCTACACGGTATGCCTGCTCTTCTACGACAGTCACGAACAGGATATGAGACCCAGGCATGAAGCTGTCTTTCGAAAGCGATTGGAATACCGGGTAGTACCCGCGGGTGGTAGGCGACGCATAGAGGAAAAATTGCGTGTCAGATGGCCAAAACGTCTCATCAAACTGCAGAAAGATCTTGGTGTATGTCCCCATGGTGAACTTCTGAATAGCAGTTTGTTTCCATTTGGGCAAGGCCGGGTGGAACTGTACGACATCGTTCTGTAGCACGCCCAGAGAAAACGTGCAAATGGCATATGCTGCACTGACACAACTGCCATCGTTGTTGGTGATTTTGACACCTTTTCTGGAATATTCAATATCGGTCACTTGAGTGTTGAGCCGGAGCCGACGGTCTTGGACTTCTCTGTGGAGGAAGGTTGACGCCTCGCGTTCGATGATTGTACTGTACCCACGAGGATCCACCACCATGTGGTTATCTTCACCAAATTGGTTGAATGTGAGATTCTCGGCGGCTACTCCGAAAATGAATGAACTGGATTCAGGGCTGGCTGCGCATTCCCAGTCTGTGAATTACTGGTTAGTTAGGGTTATCGCGACGTCTTGTCCTCCCATGCGCTTCGTACCCCAATTCCACCATTCCACTGCTTGTGCCTTCATATCGTCGCGCCGGGGGTTCCAGCCCGCCATAGCAAATCCGGTACGCGCATTGTTATCTTGAATATTGTCTAATAGCATCCGTCCCGCATCTCTGTAGGCCACATCCTTGACGTCGCTGATGGCGTCTAACAGATGTTGGTAGTCGCTGTAGCCGGTCTCGTCATATGTGAGAACGGAGCTGAAATTGTCCGGTGTGTTCTTGAGTCTATGTTTGTTGGCCTGTCAAGGTAGGATCCTGTCAGTTACATATAGAACGAGAGGGAAAGCTCTGTACCGTACCAGTGTTACGAGTGGGTTCTCTTCCTGAAGTTAAAGAAGGCCACATACATGGATCAAGGGCACTTACCTGCTCTACTTGTTCCAACACCGTGTAACTGCGCTGATAGCTTAGCAAGATTGCCTTTCGAGAAAAGCGATATGAGCATACCCAATTCGCACCAAATTCTATCACGTAAGGATTCCCATTCTTGTCCTGACCGAAGTCTGTACTCCATACGCGCCCGCCAATAGTATTTCGATATTCCAAAATGACGAAGTCGTGAATCGATGCGTTTGATAAAGCTTGCTAGGAAATTAAGTCAATGAATAATTATCCTACTATCCTTTTCGGGGCTTGTTGGTAGCCTCGATGATGCACTTACTGCTGCCGTGATACCGGCCATTCCACCTCCGCTGGGTTACGTTAGACCCCTGCCGCACCACGAAGAAGGTTATTATTGTCTTACAGGATTGCCACTGTGGTTTCTGTACATATTCTATCCTCGGGTGGAGGTTGTGCGACATGAGCGAAGGCCGACTTTATTGTTCCCGTGGCTAGTAAGAGACTCGAACATATCGACAACGTGAAATGCATGTTGTCTAAAGCTTACACGATGTTTGGTTCTGAACGGAATCCGACAGCGCTACGCAGAGCTTTTGTAACCCCTACTGGCTGCACTGGGCAGCCCATATCTTGGTACATGACCTTCGCTTGGCGTTCAGTGACTGGGACAATGGGTTATCTCTGCACCAGCTCACCAGATCGCCCGTGAGGCGATATGCAGCAGCCTGTGATCAGCAGGACAGTCTTGGCATGATAGCCAACTAGTCAGTAGACGTTTAGGCTGGTGGTCAGGAAGTTTAGCACCAGATGGGTAAGTCCAGGCGGATTGAACCTCTTGTCATGTGGGAGGGTTGATAAGCATTTGGCTGGGCCAGTCACGATGCTTAAATAGTGGGTTAATTAGTTGATGAACAGCTAGCCGCTTGCTCTAATCATTGACCCTTGGATGGGGCCCGCCTTAAGTTCTCGTTGGCAAATCAGATCCATTGCTGCAGCGAGATGACTCGTCTTTTATCAAGGCCAATTCAGTCAAGCCGGCAAGCCCTAGCTTCCCCGCATCCGAGGTTGGACATTCCGTTTCCATCTTGGTTTCTCAATAAACCAAGGTAGCGTTACTTCAATATTAATATCTGTCAACGCTGCAAGTACGGTTCCGCCACGCAACTCCCTTTCTCCCATACTTTCATTGACCGCCATGGAGGAAAGAAAGGCCGAATATGTACCGGAAGACGATGCGCAGCTGGCTCGTATGGGCCATAAGCCGGAACTGCATCGGAATTTTTCCACCCTGTAAGTTGATCCCAGGAATCTGGCTGACCGGCTAAATGCTGATTCGTGTTTTTAGTTCTATGCTTGGCTTAGCATTTGCGGTGCTTAATGTAAGTTTTCCCCCCATCCCTGGATAGTCCTCTCTGACGAATCATAGTCTTGGACGGCCCTCTCTGCGAGTTTATCGATTAGTCTGACATCGGGTGGCAGTACCAGTGTGATCTGGGGTGAGTTTCTCAGTACAAAATTGTTTTTGTATATCGCTTACGGCTTGTAGGTCTGGTAACAGCTGGCACTTGCAACCTGTGCATCGCAGCCTCCCTGGCTGAATTTCTCTCGGCATTCCCAACGTGAGTCTTGGCAATTTCGCAAAGCAAAAAAAAAAAAAAAACCAACGAAGAAATACGAGATAGAACGAGGGAGGCTTACCTGTGATTGCATGTTAGGGCGGGTGGACAATATCATTGGGTAGCTGGTAAGTAGTCTATCCCTTGCATACAACCGTCTCACTAATGTCGTCAGTTGGTATGTTGGCCGAACACATCAAGTTCTTTCCGCACGCTAAACAGGGCAGTGTCTTGGCCGCAATGGGTTCCGATCCTGTCTTGGATTACCGGCTGGGTTAACGTCGCGGGATGGGTAAGTGCCTCGTTGAAGATTAGGCTCAGCAGCGAAATTAACCCTATAGGTTGCGCTGGTGGCCACCAACGCCCTTCTTTCAAGCCAGTTGATTGCGGGAGTAGTCTCCGCGGTTTATCCGGTAGGCCTGTCTTATCCATGTTAGATATGTCGCTCATCGTGGCTAGGACTTTGAATGGCAGCGATGGCAGCAGTTTCTCATCTACGTGGGCCTCACGTTGGGCGCGTTCGTTATTAACGCGTTCATGAATTCCGTGCTTCCACTCATCTATCGTGGCGCTTGTATGTATGCCTGGGGCCGTATACGCTCGGTGCTAATTTGGTAGTTACTTGGTCGATTGGCGGTTTTGTTCTGGTTTCTATCACTGTGCTGGCGTGCGCTTCCCCGGACTATAACTCTGCCTAGTAAGTATACCCTCGGGACTGAGATTCATTGGCTAATGGGATAGTTTCGTATTCTGTGACTTCGTGAACCAAACTGGCTGTAAGTTTCCGATTCCCGAGAGATAGAACGTCGCTAATGATTGTCAGGGCCTGATGGCGTGGCGTGGCTACTGGGGGTTTGTCTCCCATCCCGACTCGCTGAGAATGAAACATACTGATTCTTTAGCTTCTCCAAGGAGGATTGGGAGTCACCGCATTTGTAGGTTGACTCTACCTTCCAATATCTATCATATTGCTAATCTTGTTAGGATGCCGTGGTACATATGATCGAGGGTACACCTAACCCCGTGCCTTATCACGCGACAAGGCTAACCCTCACTGGCCGACAGAAATCCCGAATCCATCCATCAAAGGACCCAAGGTCATGTTAACCTGTGTTGGAATCGGCACCTTCACCGGCTCCGTGTTCCTCATCGTGCTGCTCTTCGTCGCAGGCGACATCACCGATGTGGTGAGCTCAAAAGCAGGGCCCTTGCTGCAGATCCTCCTCCACGCGACCCAGAACACCGCAGGCGCGATATGCCTACTCATGTATGTTTGTTTGTCTCTGACGTCCCTCAAATCGACAGGTCAACTAACTTGATAGGCTACCCCTCGTTTGTCTGATCTTCGCCTTGCTCAGCGTAATGACAACGAGCAGCCGGATGATCTTCGCATTCGCTCGGTGAGCTCCTAGCCCTATGTTTCATGACCCGGACGAACTACTCACTTTCTCAAGGGACGGTGGGCTCCCCGCCTCGCGCTTCTTCGCCCATGTCCATCAGAGACTCGGGCTGCCTTTGAATGCACTGGCTTTGACAACGCTGGTCGTGATCATATTCGGTCTGATCTTCCTCGGGTCTTCCAGGTACGTTCCATATACATTGACAATATATAATACTCGGCTAAAAAAAAACAACAGCGCCTTCAACGCCATCGTCTCCTCATCCGTCGTAGCACTGGATCTATCCTACGCCATGCCGATCGCAGTCAACTGCCTCCGCGGACGGAAGACATTACCCGATCGGAAATTCCGGATCCCGAATGCGATCGGATGGGTGATTGACATTGTCAGTTTTCATAGCGTCTACCTTTGTCCCTGGCGTCAACTAATGGTGTACATACGTAGATCTCCCTGTCTTATATCGCTCTCACGACCGTCTTGTTCCTGTTCCCTCCTTCTCGTCCGGTGACGGGGAGTAGCATGAGTAAGTGTATCCTACGAGATCTTCTAGTTCTATCTGATGTGACTGCTGCTGACATGTGTAGATTACTGTATCGTTGCATTCGGGATTATTGTCCTGGTGTCGGTGGTGCAGTGGATCGTGGACGGACGCAGGAATTTCACGGGACCGAGGGTTGAGACCGAGACTTAGCTAGGTCGGTCGGTCTATGTAACTTAATGTCGGTAGAGTGGTATCTATTCCCTGTCACTGAGGGGTGTCTTGTTCTTGGGTGTGACGTTGCATGACCTTTATGCCCAGGCGACGAATAGAGTCCGAACGACGATAGCATCGCTGTGTATACCACCGAATCAGAAGAGTCCAAAATGACCCTGACCCAGTGTATTACGAAACCAATGGCCTGAGGGCTGCAGCAGAGTACAGAAGAGAGGGTTACCAAAGCCATCGATTGGACAATCGACAACCACTACCTCACTCAAACCAAGCAAAGCCATCATAAAAAAAATGGAAGACAAAAAAGGATATAATTAACTCATATGCCAGCATACTACCTAGATCCCAGATCTCACGTTAAAAAAGAGAAAAAAAAAATCAAAACGCAGTAACCACTCGCTACAAGCACCCAAACTCCACAAATGCAGAACCCTATCCTATCAGAACCAGTTCGAGATCGTCATCATTCATTGGGAAACCAGAGACTACTGAATCTCATAGAGGGCGAACGCGCGCTCGATGTCTTGTAAGGTCTCCTTGTCTCCGTATGCGTCCATCAATGCTTTGTTTCGGCGGAGGCGCTCTGTTTCCTCGGGGTTGTGTGCGGGAGTGGGAGCGTTGAAGTAATTGTAGACACCGAAGCCTGACATTGTATTGTTAGATGGGGTGTGTTTGGGTGGATTTATCGAGGGTGAAGAGAAAAGAGGGCGGTTTACCGAGGGCTATCATCCCCATGGTTGGGAGGTACCTGGATTCACCACATGTTAGAGCCATGTTCTTCCGATGCTCGATGAACCAGGGCGCCAGAAGTGAAGATAACATACCATTTACCAATATTTCCCTTCACGGGGGGAACGTACACAGGCCGCTTGAAGTGCGGGCGCTGTGGTGCGGACGGGGTGGTGGATGTATCCATGGGGTAAGCCGTAAACCGTAAACCGTAAGATTGTCTTTGTATGGGGTGGAACTTGCTCAACTTGGGAATGGAAATCTTGGGGAAATTAGAGTTCTGAATGGGGTTGACGAGAGCATTGGTTATATATCTTGGGCTCAATCGGTTGGACTTGGGGTTGTGGAGAGTCAGTGATGTGATCCTTAGTGTGGCATGATCGGGGAAATCGTATGATTGAAATTAAATGATCTTCAACGTCGGTCATGAAACGCCCGTGCAGCTGCTGATCATCATGACATTATGGATGCAATGATAGCCCGATCTACTTCTGCTGCGGTTTTACCCGTGTAATAAACCTGGGTTTGGTAATGATATTGAAACCTGGGGTGTCATGATTCCTCCGTTCTGTCTTTGCTGAACTGCCGTGGTCTCTACCCGGCTCGCGAGGATCGAAGTGTATGCATCTTCAACGGTATCGAATATACTTTTGGCCTCAAGATCTTCGGTGATGGTCTTATTTCGTACCCTGACGACGGCCAAGCTGTCTCCGTGATCTTTGTGGTCGCGTTTTCCCCTCGATTTCCTTAACCATGCCCCATAATATTGCTGGGATTAGAGGCCTATAAAAAATAACTAGAAGGAGATAGGACGGCCACGAACGCAGTGGGGAAGTCGTAACAAGAAAGGCGCACTGTGAATATTGCATTTGATTGGTGATCCCATTGCCTTTCACTTATGATATATCTATGTACTGGAATTGACAGTTTTGGCGCTCGGCTGCAGATTCCGCGCCACCGGAGAGTGCCGCACGACTAGATATTTATATAAGGATGGGTTAATAGAATGTTAATTGGTTGACAGGGGGATTTGGCCTTTTGAAGAATCACGCACGCAGCTATCAATGACATTTATTACATATCGATATGAAGGCATTATCTGGAAAGTTTTCATAAAAGCATACTTGGAACAATCCCGTGCATAACAAACATGCCAACTAGGTTCACTCTACTAGTAGCTACTATCAACTAAATGACATGGATTATTCTTCCCTGAGCGCTGTCATTGATTAGATCAATCCTCGAAGCTGATTCTAGTTTATGAAGTCCCGGATGACGCTGTGGAGGAGTGGCTCGCATCGACCCTTCATTATATCACCAGCATCAGACTCGGAGGAACTGTACCGCAATGCGGCGCCCATCCAGGAGACTACACTTTTCTATGTACCCTGATCATCTGACATTGTATATGCTTATTTTCGGAGAAGCCTAATGGCTGTTATTCTGCAAAGAATCACGTGACTCGGAATGCCAAACAATCTTCCTTTGTTGGATCACCACTTGGTAACCCCAATCAGAACTTCAAGGGGAACACTTCATCATGCGGTACTTCCAGGCGTAAACTGTCTCGAGATAGTATTGATGGGCAACAATATGTTTCCAAACGAAGGGATTCGGTTCTTCAATTCACATGCTCCCGGGTATTTTGGGGCTTCGCAAGCCTTCACTACATGGCCACAGAAACACAAGAGTTGTTCGACGATATTATGGAATTTGACGGGAGCAGCCCCATGGCATGTAACCTCGTGGGGGGATATTTATCTAACGCCTTGCTCTGCTTCTCATACGACCTCAAGAGTCAATGCCGCTAATGTGAGAAGGCTTACATACAAGGTTGTAGACGTGATCGCACCCAATCTGCATAGAGTACTACTCGACCTGCGCATGTTCTGGAATAAGCTTGAACTCAATGCTTGTCCACTTTCGGCGCAACTAAGAATCACTCTCGTCTTGTATCGAGCAGAATGGCATTAAGTAGTAACTATCCTCTTTTGATTTGACACTGCCGCCGTGAGTATGTTTTCAGTGGTCTTGAACTCGTTCCTTCATAAGTTACATATTGCTCTCATTATATCACGGCGTGGATTTTTCGCCGCTGCCAGAAGGACCTTTTCTGTTAATTGGACCTCTGGCAAGAATTGCTCAATTATGAGGGTCATAAGTCGATCGCCGCAGGTTGGATTTCTGGCAGCTTCTTCAAGCACTTTTTCGGTTATCAGGACTTCGTCCCCTCTTTGAGTAAAAAGAAATCTCACCAGCCCGATATTGTCGATGGATAATGTCACCATTCGAACTATGGTTTCTTCCTTAATCACAGCGAAGTCTCCTCGTCTTCGTGCTATATTCACCATGTTCTCCAGTCTTTCCGCCTGCTCGGGCAGACCTCGACGTCTGGATGACATGGCGATTTTCATCATTTCTGTGAATATAGGTAAATAGGCCTTCTCGGCTTTCGGGCCATAGAGGTCCAGCGATTGTGGAAAGTTCTCCAACGCCTGTTCAAACTCCTCCGAATCAACCAATATTAGTCCAAGATTCTGCAATCTATGTAGCTTGGGCAATTCAACTTCCAACGTTTTCTTTGCATCTTCAGGTACTCGGCTATCCATAAGCCATCTCCTATCTTTTCCATTCTCAAGTATTCCCGAGGACTCCTGATGGTCCCAGACAAGCAGAAAATTCCGAGTATATACCGCTACCGACCGTAGAAAGCCGTTCCACCCATCGAGTCTCCCCCATTTGAGTTCCGTTGGCAAAAAGGCCGAGTGAGCTGCGTCGACCGGAACGAAGCCAAGTGTTATAACGACACAGTGATCATCATATGGTCTTATAAGTGTAGGTCTAGACGCTCCTTGTAAGAGACAGACGATATCGCCTTCTCTGACCAACCCTGGCCATTTAATTAACTCCCATGGAACCACCTCGCCTTTCGAATGCTCACCCGTCATCTGTACAGTGACACATGCATCGTAGCTATCATCCCATGGGTCGTCTTTGGATGAGTTCAGCTTCACCTGACTAACTACGCCAAGAACACAGCCTTTACCCCTGATCACTGCAATATCCTCATCATCCCATGTCTGTACACATGCCTGCGTACCAATATAAAACTTGATGAGTCGACAGAGGGCATCCTTCCATGGTACGGTATAGTCGGGCAATATGGCCGCCGGAGCATGAGTATCGGAGCTCATGCCTAGCAGAGCATAAATCTTGTCCCGACGATCAGTAGCCTCACAGTTGTGATACATGGTTATTAGGTCTGCTATAGGGCGTATGTGAAGGGAAAATCGATCAGAACGAGCCATCACGCGCTTAGATCGTAATGTCGCATTTTTTATTAGAAAGACTGCCGTGTCTATCCGATTTCGCATGTCTGCATTGGTAATGATGTCCTGCAGTGCTGTCAAACCGGAAGAGAAGGCATGTCCGTCAATTTCGGCGGAATGACATGCAATCAGGACATGTCGCGCTGCAGCAATCTCTTGAAGCACCTAAAGCTGTCAATACCTTCTCCAAATTCTTTCAATTGCTTGCTATCTTACCCAGACACGCCGGAACCATGGCCGCCAAAGAAGTGCGAGGACTGCTTTCTCGTCGTCTATGCCCACACGATAATGAGCGTTTGCAGCCTTGCGTATTACCTCCAGGGCTCTACCGCCTTCATCGGAAATCTGGTCATCATCGATGCTAGTGGCCTCATCTTCAAGCCAGACTACTACACAGCTCGCTTTGGCATATATTTTGGCCATAAACTGAACCTGACCGCGCCGTTCGTCTGTATCATTTTGATTAATACATATCGCATCTATCCATATCACACGTTCAATAAAGTGATCTCGAAGGTGCAATAACGCCGCATGGAGATTCGTGGTGACAGATAAACTGCCTTTATCGAGGAAAATAAAGTGAGGCTTTTCTGGGGCACCCCATACATACGACAAAGCCTCGTATCGATGGGTCCCTACTGCTGAGTCGTGGAGAGGATAGTCAAATAGTTGGCATTGTATTGGGGCATGTCTATCCTGATGTGGCATCAGCCGGAGTAAGCGGATATGGCCTTCCGGTAGAGGAGAGTAAAGATATGGGGAGGAACTAGAGGGGATGATTTCCGTCTTTTTGGAGGCCATGGGTGCAGTGAAGGAGGACTTGATAGAAGATATTTGGGAAGCACGTACGGTTCTCGAGCGTTGGTGGGCAATTTTGATGTTTGAATCTCCAGAAGTGCTGGAACCCCACCATCGGGTATCGAAGCGCATGGGAGCTCTCAGCCTTGTCGAATTCCCCTCATTTCGGCCCTCCTCCTCCGGCGTTTGTCATATTAACCATTTTATTCTTGCCTGTTGGGCGTAGTATCTCTCCGTTGAAAGCCCGCGTGGAAGCATCCGAGGCGCTATGGTGACTCCATGTCACTTATTATTTCCTACATCGCAAAAAGACTGGTATATCTATATGCATCTGTAGCTGTCTGTGACAGCCTTATGGGCTAAATATTTATTTGACTTCCGTTTAGCACAAAGAAGGCCAGTATAAGCTTGACTACACTGGGCGATTTGATTTAACCATATCTCTGGACAAGGTCCTTCATATCGTTGAGCATCCTAGCAGCTTTTTTAGTGCAAAGTGTACCCGCGAATTGGAATGAACTCTTACTGCTCTCTGAGTGCTTGATTCTCTGTAAAGAGGGCAGAGACTTGGGTATTGAATCTCCTATCACAGGGTCAGCACTCAATGGCAGTTTAGTTTCGGATCGTCGTATGCTCACAGCTTGTACAGGTCTAGACGGCCATCATAATCTTCTTCAGAGGCCGATTTCTGTACGTACGAGTGATATGCTGCCAAGTATTCCTCACCAAATCGGTTACAGACTGGCCGCCACTGGCCAAACTCATCTACATAGCATCCAACACGTCAGCTCGAACATTGTGTATGTGGTAGCCAAATGGCACAACATACATTCGTTATGCGCGTAGAAGGAACAGGCGTCAAACACAAGAGACTCGCCGGTTGGTACGTCAATTCCAGAGTTTCCATACCAGAGATCTCCATGGACGAGTGAGGGTTTTACAGACCGACCATCTGATTCAAGCGGACGCAGTAGACGTGGTATAACCTTGTCAAAGAGGATCGGAATTAGGTGATCTAGTTCTGGGTCTGGCCCTTTTGCCTTGATTTCTAGATCGAGGGCCATCTTCATATTCTTCGTGAAGAAAACCTCCCAGCTATCTTCCCACTCATTAATTTGTGGTAAATTACCACTGTATGTAGTCGTGTGGAAGCCAAATTTCCCCGTCGGTGACGTACTGTTCTGATGGACAGCCGCGAGGCGCGCAGCAAATTTATGCGGATCTGGCATCTCATGCGTCATTTCTCGATACTCACATAAAAAGAAATGAATGTCTGGTGTATCATTGTATGTTCCCCATGCTATGGGCCTCGGTGCAAAGCCTGGAAGCAGGGTATATATGGCCGTCATTGATTCGAATTCCCCATGGACCATATTCTTGCCTCGTTCTTCAGGCACAATCTTGATAAAGAATGATGCTGGTGTTCCATCGGCTAATTCGACATCTATGCGGCTAGTGTGGCCCCAGAAGCTGCTTCTATGGCTCTGGGAGGATACGACATGGCATCCTTTTGGTAAGTCTTATTAAATCTCAGTATTTTGTATGTCTCGCGACTATATGGAACTCACGCGCCACGACGTTCGAGTCAACTGTGGTGTCCCAGTCAAAATTCGAAGCACTGTCACTAGTGTTTCCTATTACTTAGATGTTGGCCTTGTGCTTTATCTGAATCTCAATTCTGATTTCAAGAGAGCCCCACGATCCTTATGATAAGCAGGTCCGGCAAGATGTGTTAGGTTTGGCAGATGCCAACTGTGTAGGGTATTGATAAAGAAGAGATTGCTACGGCTCACAATGGAAAGCGGAGAGCACGCCAGTTCTTGTTACTGTAACGTAGTGGAGCAACGTACAAAGATGCTGCAAATCTCGGCTGGTGGGGTACAAGCCAGGATCCCTAATTCTTGTGCCCCGCAGTAGCGACTTCAAAGATACAGTGCTGCATCCCCTCCACACATTTGACCTCCACACCTGCGTCCTCCAATATACTTCTCCCGATGTTCTCAGCCATGAATACTATTGGCTCAAGGGCAGTGAAGTGAAGTATTCTCAGAGTATTGACTGTTTCTAAAGCAATGGTGTGGACCCTGTCAAGGAGAATCACCCTGGTCAGGGGCAATGTACTACCTTGGGCTTAGGGTAGTCACAGGACTGTGGGTGAGTGCCCTAGCATATCTATGATACATTGGTCACTATCTCAAGGAAGGTGATACTTGGTTCCCAACAAGCATTACTATATCACTACGTTCTTCGGTTGGGACACTTTCGTACTTAATATACTGGTATCACAACATATGAGGTTATCCATCATGGATACTCCCGGCCCCAGACATGGTGGGTCGGGACATTCGCTCCGTTTAACTTTCTATTGCACAAGAATGGTTTGATTCGAATTAAGGTGAAATTGGCCGATGTTACTTTTGTAGAAAAGACATGTTTGCTCTTTCAACGATTTCTATGGGCCAATATCGTAGCAGGTACCACATTGTGTTTTCTATACATGCTCGATTATTCCTACTACCCTCAATACAGAGGCGCATGTCAGCCCTACGTAAGGAACCAGATAAGTCGCGGATTCCGGAAGCTCCGGACGCTAAAATCTAGACCGAAGTGAATTTTGCTCGCGCAATATATATTGGAGGACCACGTAAGCCTCAGCTTAAGAGGTCTTACCTTCGACTAGTATCACTCCGGTTCAAGCCAACATGGTAGTATAGAATGATAGAGCTAATCGTTTCGGTCTGGTTCTGACTTACCAATAATCATGGAGGAGAAAACATAGTTCGATCCACCTGTGGAGACCTTTTAAACCTCGCAAGGAGGAACCAAAGCACCAGTTTGATGTTTCAGTCTTATCGCTCACGTGGGGGTGTCTGCCCTTGATCCCCAGATGTCGAGTAAGGGACGTGCGAGGAGAGGCACACATTCCAATCTCAGCCACTGATTTATTTGTTCCAGATACTGTGAAATTTCTTTCCAATCGTTCAACGGTTCCTTTCGAACGGGAAATTTCGAGATCTCCACAACGTGCATGAGGGGCGCCGCCAAAGGCCAAGAGACACCGGCCGTATTTATCCCTGCCGCCAACGAGAAGGATCCTATGGGAAGATACGAGGAACAGCCATCGACATCACCCCACAGGAGACTCTCCCCTACCACGGTTGCACGGTCCAATGGTGGGATCCAATCGTCTCAATCACTGATTGAACCACGGTCTCGACGAGCTACAGACCATAAGACGCCTTAAGGAACCAAATCTTCATTAGCTTCCCTGAAGGCACTAGTTTAATTACTTACCTTTGATTTATTCGCCGATTCTCCCCTTAACCATTGCTTGCTCCGATTGCACACACTCAATAGCTGGAACATATCACTGTGCTTGTTGCCAGTGGTTTGGGGGTATTGTCGACTTAGGCTCTTATTGACTGCATTGACACAGCCAGTTGTCTTAATCGAAATTATTTTTTTTTTTTTTGGTCTTTCGCATAATTATTTACCCATCCAGCTGTCGCGTGCCCAACACACTGCATCGCCCTTGCATGATTTCCCCAAGCAGCAGCTTCACCAGCAATTCTGTACAACCCGCGGCCAGATCTTGACCACCAGTCGATCGCAACCAATTGAACCCCTTGCGCCACTCCCCAATGCAACTGTACTTCTGCCCATAGTAACCGGCAATGTTTTTGAGAACGCTATTTTCTCTGCGCCCGCGCAGCTACACTTTGCTTCAGCCCGTGCACCACAGCCCTACGGAATTCGCCATGCGAACGTCCAAAACAGACAAGGTCGTCACCGCGGCCGCCGATGGCGACGTCGCAGCAGACAATCTGGACACGGACAGGAGAAGGCTGGCCGAGATGGGCTACACTCAGGACATGCAGCGGAACTTCTCCGTGATATCTTTGCTGGGGGTGGCCTTCTCGCTGGCCAACTCGTGGTTCGGTGTCTCCGCCTCGCTGATCACCGGTATCAACTCAGGTGGAACCGTGTTGACCATCTATGGAATTCCCTGGATCGCCTTCGTCTCGACCTGCGTCGCCGTCACGCTGTCAGAGCTGGCCTCGGCCATGCCCAACGCTGGCGGACAATACTTCTGGGCCAGCGAACTCGCCCCGAAAAGATATGCCGCATTCGCCTCCTACCTCACCGGATGGCTCGCCTGGGCTGGCGCCATCTTCACCTGCGCCAGTGTGGCCTTAAGCTTAGGCTCAGCCGGCGTCGGCATGTGGCAGCT